AAAATATAAAGCTTTTAAGTAGTTAGCTAACACCACCGCTGTCGCCGCCACCGCAGCCGTATCACTATACCTATGTCGAGCTTTCTGCGACAAAAGTAGCAGGCTCGACAAAAACCATGACATTAAAGATCCACGAAAATGCAAGTTTTCCTCAATCCACGAAAATTGGTACCCACGAAAATAAATGAATCTACAGTAATTTTCAACAGTTTGCAAAAAGCTATGTAGAATCAACACCAGAAAATAGAATGGCCAAGCAACACATACTGTTATATTTCGCCTTACATGTTGATGATAGTTTTAAACTTGTATGTATTGATTTTCATATCAGTAAATATGTCATCCTGTTATTTTCTTGTCATAGCAAATTAACTGCTGATATGACAGTTTATGAAATTACATCAATTTTGTCAATCATTTGAGCTAGACCATGAATTGTTCATCTGGCTAAAAATATGTCACATTCATATTTAAGGAATGACTGTAATATTTTTTCTGTCAATGAAGAACCTCAAAAATGTGGTGCACACTGAAAAGCGGGTTATTTAAAAGGTGAGCACCACATTTTTTAGGTTATTTCGAATAGACAGAAAAAATATAACAGTCATTCCTTATAATTTAATTCTAAATTCCATTTTTAAGGAGTAAATTTTGAAAAAAAAAACGTTGGTGACATCACAGTCACATGAAAAAATTATGTCTATGAGCTGATAGACAAATTCAAACTTTCATCCAAAATTAAATTATTTACATATAATTTGAACAAAAATGTTATTAAAAAAGATTAACAAAATCTTCCAAGAAATATAGAGTTGGTAATTTTTGTCAATTTACAATATATTCTAAATGATGTTCATAACATGATTTTTATTTATCTTAATTGAATTCATCCTGAATATTCAACATGAACATGAAATATTTGCAACTGGACATCCTGGAAAAGAAATCAATCACAGTAATCTAACCAAAACAAATTTAATGGGTTTTTCTTATCGTTGAAGGCCATAGGGTTGCCTATAATTGCTTACATCCACTTCATTTGAACTTTGGTTAGTTGTTTCATTGGCAATCACACCACATCTCCTTATTCTTATATTAAGATTTTTTATTAATGCATGATTCAAAAACTCTATTGTTTCAAATTATATTCCCAAGAAAAATATCCAACAAATGTTCAGTTTGCATTAAATGTTTGGTAAATGACATCTCCATGCCCAAAACATATATAACATGTATAACAAACCCTCCTCCTTACCTTTTACCCCTTCTAGGTATTAGAAAAAAAAGATATAACAATGGCAAATCAGCAATTTATTATTGAAACCATGATATTTGTTGTTCTGAAATTCTGTGTAAATAAGGTGGCTATGTTTATTCCATAAAAAAAATCTGTCCAAATTAAGGTCTGAAAATGTTAATATTCAAAACTGTTTCAATCAAAGAGTTTGAAGTCTTCATATATACATGTATATAAATAAAAAGTAAAATAACAAAAATACCAAACTCCAAGGAAAATTCAAAATGGAAAGTATTTAAACAAATGGCAAAACCAAAAGCTCAAACATATCAAACGCATTGATAAGAAATTGTCATTTCAGTATTTTTAATATTTGTAGTTAATGGTCTGAGATGGTCATTTACAGAGTTTAATATTCAAATTTGTATTAAATAGATTTTTAAGTACAAATATATTCATATACTTCAGATGTTGTTATTTGAAGTTATTTTACTATTCCATTTGATTCAAATAAAATTACTATTTCTATGAGGCTTAACATACATTAAAACAGGACATTAACCCCTGAAGCTGACATACATACATAGTTTCTAGATGCATTAAATTAAATTCCTTTTCATGTGTATTCATCAAAATATTATTAAGATCCATACTTTTAACAATCTTTTAATAAGTGTTCTTTAATCTAAAATTTTATTACAAACCAGTAAAAGTTGACATGCAAGAGAAGCCTAAAAAAGTTGTTTTAAGTTTCTAATAAATTTTTTCTGCTTAACTTTCAACTTTATAAAGTAGACCAAAGTTGAGCAGGAAAAACAGAAGGTAAATCCTGGACTTGGTGATAGAGGAAGTACATTTAGTACTTCACTTTATCTATGAAGGTCAAATTACTTACTAGTAAAAGTGATAAGGGCTTCCCATTTACATAAAGGTAAATCCCCATTCCCTTTTTAATACGCAAATACATGGGCTATTTAGTATAATCAAATAAGATGACAACAGTATAAACTATTCAGTGTCTACTTATCAAACATACATAGCATGTACAAAAGTAAACTTAAGTGAATTTATAACTTACATACAAACTATTGATTGTTTTTTTCATGTTATTAAATTGTTTTCTCATTGACATAAACCTGATACTCTTAGCTGGAGATTTTGAGATAAGATTAAGGAAACTTGTATATTAATTCATTTTCATATATAATTCAAATTTGTATTTTTTTTTAGGAAATGCACTTTTTTTGAAAATTTAGGAGTTTAGTGTGACATCCATTTTCACTGAACTAGTATACATTATTGTTTAGGGGCCAGCTGAAGCCCCCCTCCAGGTGCAGGATTTTCTCACTGTGTTGAAGAAACATTGGTGACCTTGGGCTGTTTACTGCTCTTTGGTCAAGGTTGTTGTCTCTTTGACGCATTCCCCATTTCCATTCTCAATTTTACAGATATAAATATATATATTAAACACAGTGAATCTGTACCAATTTGTTACATTTAACAGTTGATTAACATTCTTAAGGGAAGTCAAAGTAGTTTTCAGTATGTTGTCATTTCTAAAAATTCGAAATATGATGTATGGCAAGTTAAGATCTTTGAAAAATCATAAAGGTCATAATATTAAAGATGATATGCCTAAAATTTGTTTTCAAGGAAATAATTTCAAAATTGGAAATTTTTGTAACTTCTAAGAAATTTTCTGACAGCTTCATATTTTTCTAACCTTGTAATTGCAGATATATGACAAAAGATTTTTGCAATGATTGCAAAAAAACTTTGTGTATACTAACTGTTCAAGGTATGCTAGATATTGTGTCGTGCTAACCCAAAAAGCAACAAATCCACTTCCCTAGCATGACTCTTGCACATGTCATTTCGATATGCTGTTTGTGATTATGTATATCTATTTCATAGGTGACTGATTATTATTTTTCATTTGGACAATACTTTTGGATTTACTTGTTTGTATATCATTTAAGTTTTACCAAAAATATTTTATAATTCAAACTATATTAATCCTTTTTAAAATCTTATTTTCTGTGATTGGAGTTTTTAGACTAATTGTTTTTGTGAAGTTGTGAGAACCTTGCATGATAATTTAAATTTAACCAATGAACTTCGATAATGAGGTCAAGATTAGATTATTAACCAGGGTGAAGATGGCCATTTATTGCATATACACCTAACAACCTTTCCATACACAAAATATAATTGACCTATTATTCAACATGTTTAAAGTATCTGAAAAACAGAAATTACCACAAAAACATAGCATTGGCCAATAAATCATGAAATGAGGTCAAGGTCGGAGCAGGACATGTTACTGCACCTAACAATCATTCCATACTTTAAATATTGTTAACCTATGGCTTATAGTATCTGAGAAAAAAAGGATCTTATCTCAAAACAATGACTAATGAACCATGAAAATGAGTTCAAGGTTAGATGAACCTTGCAAGATGACCATATCAACGTTTCAATCATTTTACACCAAATATAGTTGATATATTGCTTATAGTATCTGAGATACTGACTTGACCATGAAAACCTTACCTTGATTGGACATGTAGACCTTACAATCATTCTATATATATATATATATACAACTCGTCTAAACATCAGCCCAACAATGTTAGATCTGTAAATTTGCTTTCGCAAATTTTTTGTTCTTCCCTCGCCGAGATTCGAACGCTACTGAGATATCGTGACACCAAATAGCCTGCACTGTATTCGACGCGCTAGACCACTGGACCACCTAGGCTTCACAAAAAATAAAGCTTTCGGTGGCCGGGTGTTACCTTTCCTCGTCAGTTTTAATCTAGCGTCGTAATACAGTATATGATATATAAGGCATGAAGATGGAATTGTTACAGATCAGCTGAAATATCTATTGTAAAGGATCCTACAAAGACGTACTTATATATATATAGATATATAGCTAAATGTAGTTGTTCTATCACCAATAAGTGAGAAAATCAGTAAAAAATATGTAGTCACTGAATAATGAAAATGAGGTCAAGGACAACAGACATATATGCATGATGGAAACTGTAAGCATATATTTGGCTTTATATAATTCCTTAATGCCATTGTTGCTGGATTAGAATTTCTATGCCGCACATTTTGCATCATTTGTTGTGAAATTTATCATGTTTATGGTAATCAAATTACATGTTTGAAATTTTAGCTACATTTCGTTATCTATATATGGGTCTTATCCAACATACGTCTATGGTCTGCAGTATCATCTCAATTTTTCATACAGTAATTTTTATAAAAATTGATAGCTCTCAGGGCAATGATTTTTTAAAAATTTTTCAGGATTTCAAGGACTCATATATACAAGCCCTTCAATAAGAATATGAGAGTTATTAAGTCGGATGTACATACTGAAGAGGTCTTGCTTCTACTAACATTAAACTCAGGCAGGAAAAACAACCATAACCATATTACAAGCAATACCTTAACTTAAGGGTCTACACACATTTCTAAATATCCATTAATTTTGGTTCAATGTCTCTTTTTTGGAACAGAGGGCCTTAAAAAATCTGTAGACCATCAGTATTTCACCAGTGAAAGCCCATTTAATTGTTGTTTGGTCCTGATAGGGAGGAATATTAAGTAAATCATTAAAAGTCTGTGACATTTTGAATCCCTGTTTGAAAGAAAATCATTATAAGAAACAAGTCTAGCTTTCCATATGGCAATACAGGACACTAGTAGGATATAATAATTAACATGCACAAATCTCATAAAGACTTACCTTGCTTCTTCCAAGGAAAACAAAAAAGATGGAGCTTCTAAATCGTCATCATCAGATTCTTCTAAATCTATATCTTCGTCACTCCCTGCCATCATAAAATATTGTATTGAAGTGAAACTACGACAGCAGGTACATTATACTCTTACAATAATCCATCATAAAACAAATTACATTTTAAAACCAACAACCATTCACTGTTTCTAATTATTCACAAACCTATCAAAATATCAATGCATATACATATAGATGTTTTTCTCTCTCACTTCAGTAAATTATATGATTAGGAGAAATTGACATGAATTTGTCTCTTCATGCTTTCACAAGTATTGGAACATATGCTTTGTTAGTTTAGTTCCTAAATTAGTTGACCCAGTTCTTTTCAAATAATTTTGCTGATAATTGGCTGCATAACGTGGATAAACAAATAATGTTGAAAAGAAAACTAAATAATGAATTCTGATACACTTCATGGAAAAGAAAACTAAATAATGAATTCTGATACACTTGAAAAGAAAACTAAATAATGAATTCTGATACACTTGTTGTTTTCGCCATGTCCATAAATAAATAATTGATTTCCATTAAAAGATGTTAGTATTAGATATAAACAGTCCATACATACAAAGATAACATTAAATGACATTTATTTATAGACTGGAATTTAAATAGTAAACTAAAGTTACCTGGAAAAATACCATTTCAAACAATTTGGTCAAATGAGTTTTTCTTTCTCTTTACCATTCAACTGTATGAGCAGATTAAGAATTTCTATTTTGGAAAATTTAAAGACCGCCAATATCTTCTAGATTATCATCATTAATTAGCAGTTTATTACAATGTTCATTAATGGTGGTGTCTGATAGCTACTAGGATGTACATTTATGATATTGTTATTACAAAAGAAAAAATCAAGGGGGAAAAATTATTGCAATAACTGAGAAATGGAGCTCTTCTGATGTTCACCCAGTTCCCCCAAAAAGCTATACTGAGTATAAGTTTACAATAAATAACATTTTGGTAAATTTCTGAGATACAGAACTAATCCAAAGTTTTAACCTGAACATAGAACCCTGAAGGTCATAGGAATATATGATGTGTACATACAATTGTATATATATCATACAATGAATCAATTTTCTGTTTACACTTTCTCTCTAATAGTTAATATGCCCAAAATACAAAAAAAAAGGGTATTAAAAAATTGTTATTTAAGAGCGATAACTACTATAAGAAAACAACTGACAATTTCATCAATGCTGACCTATTTGTAGATCTTGTCTTTCTGATAGCTTTTGCTTTATTTTAAAGTTTTTAAAAGGCAAGCAAAAACGAAAAACAAAATGATAAATATCATCATTAAAGAGCAATAACCCATGTTCATGATGTAAGGAGTGGAAAAACAATTCAGCCATGTTTAAAGATAAATGGCAAAAATGCAAAAGATTTGAATTTGTATTGTTCTTGTCACTTTTTAAAATTTCTCTCTATCTGCAATAGTTTTTAAGATAACCAAAAACTGTGAAATTTGCAAAAAAAATACATTTCAGGGGCAGAAACTCAAAAATAGGTTGACAGATTTTTTTCTGAAAATGCCACAGGAGATAGTACTTGACTTGCTGATCAATTCAATCTAGTCAGATTTGCTCTAACTTTTTTCATTTTTGCCCTATAAATTTTTGAATATAAGCCTATTGGTACTGTACACGTATACCTAATAACAAAATTATTTTCATTTACCTGTGTTTAAAGTTATCATGGTTATAGCAAATGGATGGTATTTTTGTTCGAGCATATTGTTTTTCTTTAATTGTTTAACATTTCTTACCGATATAACATGTTACTTTTATTATTCTTCCCTTAGTTTATTTATTTTGTATTCAAAATTATTTAATTTGTAAAAATATTTCCTTTCTCTATTGGTACTGTACACGTATACCTAACAACAAAATTATTTTCATTTACCTGTGTTTAAAGTTATTGCAAATGGATGGTATTTTTGTTCGAGCATATTGTTTTTCTTTAATTGTTTAACATTTCTTACCGATATAACATGTTACTTTTATTATTCTTCCCTTAGTTTATTTATTTTGTATTTACATTGTGTCATAGGTCAAATTTATTTGTTCAGTGTATGTTCAATGGTGTTAATATGTCCTTTGATTGAGTTAAAAGCTATTTCAGTTGATATTTTATAGTGTGTCTTTCTATGTTGTGATGTTACACTATTGTTTCAGAAAAAGGGTGAAGGTTTGGTACCATTAAAACGTTTAAACCCGCTGCATTTGTTTGCACCTGTCCTAAGTCAGGAATCTGATGTTCAGTAGTTGTCGTTTGTTGATGTGGTTCATAAGTGTTTTTCGTTTTTTATATAGATTAGACCGTTGGTTTTCTCGTTTGAATGGTTTTACACTAGTAATTTTTTGGGGCCCTTTATAGCTTACTGTTCGGTGTGAGCCAAGGCTCCGTGTTGAAGACCGTACTGTGACCTATAATGGTTTACTTTTATAAATTTTGACTTGGATGGAGAGTTGTCTCATTGGCACTCATACCACATCTTCTTATATCTAAAACACATTTTACCCCTATGTTCTATTTTTAGCATCAGTTGCCATATTTGTAGATGGATCAACTCTTGTGATACAAGTTTGATACTAAATACATTAAGGAACATTCAACTAAAGTCTCGTAACATTTTGCAGAGTAGTTTCAGAGGAAAAGATTTTTTTTAAAGTTTATGACGGTGGATGGACGTCTGACGGACAAACAGATGACAACAGATGCCAAGTGATGACAAATTCTCACATGGCCTTTTAGGTCAGTTGAGCTAAAAATTACATTGTTCATAAATTTACCAAAAATTAAATTCAATATCCACAGGCATGATTTAATGGACAGGTGGAAAACAGTCCTGGAGCTTGGAAAAACTAAATATATAGAAATGCACTGATAACTTAGCCAAAAAAATAGGTTGAAAGGTAGGAAATGTTAACATCATGTGACCTTTACTATGAGCATATGATGAAAAAAAGATAAAAATATTGAAAATATAAATACTACTGTTCATGTCCGTACTTACCAACTTTATCTTGTATGGCCTGGAATGAGTTCTGGCTATTGTGTAAGGTTGGTAGTTGGCTAGACTCAATCTCTTCATCAGAATCATTATTTTCTACAGATTTTTCAGACTTTTTTTCTGTTTCTGTTTCGCTTATTCTCCTTGATCTCTCTTTCTCTCTAGCCTTCTTTTCTTTTAATTTTAATAATTTTCTGTATTCCTCTGGTGTATTGGCTAATTCAATACATTTGCGATTCTTTTCCCTCTCTTTCTGAAGTGCTAGATCCTGCTGTGCTTTCAATCTTTTCCATTCTGGATATGATAGAGCAGACTTAAGACTTATACCTGATTTCTCTGGACTGCCTGACAGGGAGCCTTCTTCCTCAGAGATTGCATTATATGTACTATCAATCACTTTGCTATCTGGACTTTGAATTCCAACTTGTTTAATTGGTTTTAAGTCCCCACTAGAACTTCGCTTCCTGTCGAGAGGTGATAATGGGTTTTCTTTTGGAGACATTTTACTTATTTCAGATGAACGATCTTCTCGAGGCAAAACTACATGAAAAGCTGATCTCTGTTTAGCATCTGTTTTTGGCGACAGAATGCCCTGACTATCTCCACTTGAATTACGACTTCTAGGAGAACTTTGTGCTTTACCACCATGTATTTTTTCTTTGCTATTTTTCCTTTGTAACGGTAATAATGGAACTGTTTCCTGCACTGAGCTGGTCTTTTCCTTCACATTATCAACACTTCTCTTCCTTTCAATTGGAGAACTCTCCATTTTATTGTCTATTGTTTTATTTTGAATTGGAGAATTTATAGTTTGACATTCACTTGTGTTGTGATCCATTTCCTGCTTACCCTTCATACATGTATCATCTTGACTTTTAACTTCATTTAGCGCCTTCTTGATTGAAGAGAAGTCCATTTTGTCCATTTTATTTGGTGTTTTTTCTTTACCAGAACCTACTGGTGCACTTTCTTGTCTCCTTACTGGAGATTTCCCTTTGCTATTTTGTGCACCTTTTGACTCAGAATGATTTCCTATTATGTCAGACATGTGTCTTTTTAAGTTTTTACTTGGAGTAGTTTTTACATTTGTTTTTTCCTCTCCATCTTGGAGTTTATCAACTGCACTAAAATACTGGTCACTTTGATAAATATTTCTACCTGGACTAAAGACACTAGAGACAGAATTCTTATTTACAACTGGTTTAGGAGATAAATCCTGTTTGTTTACATTATTTTTATCAGTACTTTTATTGTCCTTTTGACATGATTGATCTCCCTTGCCATCAACATTTTGATTTTGTCTATTCTGACTAGGTTCATTCCTGGACTTTTCTGGTCCTTTTGAATTTTCTGAACTGCTGTAACTATCAGATTTCTTGAAGTCTTGTCGATTCCCAGCTACCTCTGAACTGAATGATCTTTGAACTCTTTCATGTGGTTGTGAACCTATATTATCATGGCTTTGATTCCTTCTTCTACTTCTGTTAAAATTAGTATTTTCATATTGGTAATGATCATTTGAATAAACCTCTCCTTCATTATATCTTCGATTATGTATTGGTGGCCGAGTAAAACTTTCTTGTTCCTGAAAGTCTTCATAGCAACGTCTGTCATCACCTTGGTAATTATTACGATAATTTTCATAATGATTTCTATTAGGATGTTGATTAAAAGGGATATCATGTCTATCATAGCTTTCTCTTGGATATTGAAAGTCTCTTTGATTTTCGTAACTTTGACGATATCTCTCATCTTGCCGTGCATTGTAATAGTTCTGATTCAATCGGCCTCTTTGAGAGGGGTTGCCATGGTTATTAAATCTTGGATACATATCCGTGTCTGCATCAACAGAATCCTCAAGTTCAGTATTTTCTGTTACATTATCTAGGTCTGAACTGTCTTGATCTACAATGACCCCACTGCCATCAATTTCATTCACAACTTTTATAGATGCTTTGTTATTTTTCTTGCTTTCACCCAGTGTTTTTTCTTCAACAGGAACTCTTTCTGTGTTTTCTATAAAAGAAAAAAAGGCAAAAATATTTTTCAAACATGCTTCATATATGAATAAACAGAGCCAGAGTAATAAGGTATATGTCAATCAGACAGCAAGCATACATATTAAACCCAGTCAAGACAGGTAAAGGGTAACCTTCAGCAACAGATTATGGGAAATATCATGTGCAAAGAGCTAAATCAATGAATATACACATATTGGAAATTTCACAGACTACTAATAATATAAATGTAGGACTCTAAAATGTAATGGTACGCCAAAGTGCAATGGTTTTGATTTCGAAGCCAGTTTACTTAAGTGCAATAGTTCAACACACTAAAGTGTTTTGGTTATCGCTGAAGTAGGATGACGTGACCCTCTAAAGTGTTATGGTTATCGCTGAAGTAGGATGACGTGACCCTCTAAAGTGCAAAGGTCATGCTGCATTAGCTGTTATGAGATATTGTGCTATTGCATAAAGGAAACAGTAGTATATTACCAAATGTGTAACGTACAAGTATTTACAGTATTTTACCAAATGTAACATTGTTATTGAATGATAGAAATAAATAAATTTGTTAATAACCATGTTAATAAAACAAGCTGATGATAAAGAAACAAAGCAAGAGGAAGGTGTTACTGAGAAATCATAGCTATTTATAGCTTAGCTTACCTGTGTTTACACCACATAAGTATAATGGAATGAAACCAATAAAGACACAATATGGATGGTAGTACATTTGATTTATTTTAATAAACAAAGCATTGAAAAGCAGTAAACAAATCTGAGCATTACATAACCAGCTGATCATTATATCTATGTAAAAATTATGGTGATGAACCTGAAAAATATAAATGCAAATCACGGTAACCCTTTATATAGCTGTGGTCAGGGCTAGTAACATCTCAGAATTAGGTTAAGCTCATTAACTGCAGAAGCTGGAATGAATTATACATTTAATGTATAATTGAATACATCAGATAATGGAATATTTTTGCTGACAGCTAGAGTATACATCCAATTTGCTGGAGTCTACTGTATTTCAAATTCATTGAAGCACAACTAAGGAATCTCAAAATATTCAAACACTAATACAACAGCATAAATGAATATCAATGATTTATCATGAATAGAGCTGAACTCTTACCTTAATTTTAATTAACCTAGATATAATGATATAAGTCCATAATCATGAAAAAATTTAGTTCATAAACCTGAGGTCAAGGTCAATGATAGGAAAATGGGTCTAAAAATGAATCAAACAAGAAAATAAAGTATTCCTAACGCTTAAAATCATAGACATTCATTTTCTCTGGAGGTTCTTATCAATAATGAATTTCATTTGCTACTCAAAATGATTATAGCTAAACAAAGATTCTGCTATTTTTCAAAACAGGATCAGACTTTCTATACACAAAAAGTTCTGAAGTAGTGAATGGAATCAGAAATGTTTAGTTATTTCCATTTTGTGAGGAATATAGATTTAATGAACTTTGCTGACAATAACACATCCAGTCTAGAACAGAGAAATGCTCAAAGGGAAATAACTCTGATTTAAACCTGTTTCAGTGTTTGCAATTGCATGTCTTTGTGAGGTGTAACCATTGAGGTCATTTTTATTCAAATGGGCATACACTGATTGTATTTCAAACATTATAATTCAATGTAAAAAATAGGCAAATTTCAACTTCTGCTCTAACCAGGGACATTGGTGGCAGGAGTGGTCTGACTCTAAGAAAAAAAAAATGAAAATAACTATGTAAATTTTATGCATCTGAAGCACTTTATTGGATTTACCTTTATCAGGAACAGTCAAGGTCAAATATTATGAAAGCTGAGGATGTACAAGAACCAAAACAGTTAAAGAGCTTTATGACCAAAAAAGGACCTAGATCTAATTAAAAATAATAGCAAAATCCATCTAAAGTCATCTTAACCTGAGGGAGTTAGAACCTTAGTTCATCTACAGTATCACTAGGCAGTCAACACTGGCAAAAGTGTTCGACTCTGATCTCATTTGATTAGGATTGCTAGTTTTCCTGCTGATGGTCAGTGGTTCTCCTGCTTCCTTCACCGATAAAAACTGACTGCCAAAATATATCTTAGAATGCTGAAAGTGTCGTTAAACACCAAAACTCAATCAATCACTCAATCTGCAATAACTATGAATCTTTCATATAAAGAATCCCCTCTTCTTCCCACTTAATATTTGACGATAAATGAACATGCAAAAAACATGTATTGTAAACGTATATCTGTACTAAGTTAAAAGAACAAAGTTATTTTTATAAGTCACCAAGGAAATAATTTTATGATAGAATCACATAGGTTTATCTGTTTTCAATCTGCAGGTAAACAACATGTAGGAAATAAATCATGAAGACAAAAGAAAAATCTTACAATGTTTCAGTATCCATGTTATTACAATTTCAGTTTTCCTTGTCAAGAATAATTTATTGATGTCAGACATGATTGATTGTTTTGACCTACAAGTTGATACAAAGCTGTTTTAAATGGTCTTCTGTATTACTTCCATGGTGGCCATGGGTAATTTTCACAAGTTTGAAATACCCATAAGTCAACAAGGCTTAGTACTTTAAAGTCAATTTGTAAAAGCCATTTATTGACTGGTGATTAGTGTTCGAGAATATAAGAGCATCAAATGAGACTATTGCTGACCAAGGATTTTGTTGTAGTATAGACTTTTTCATAATATCAGTAATGTAATAGACCAATAAGAAGATAGGCGGGTTTAAGAACTGACTACATTAGTAAGAAATTGAACAAGATATAAATACTTTTTCAGCTTTTCTTAAACAGTTTCTGAGATAAAGCCCTCTCAAAGCATCAATGTAACCAAGGGGGCATGATAAAAAGTTTTATGAAATATTTGGGACAATGATATATGACCTGTAATACTTCACAATGTAACTGAAAAATAATTTTTTCAACATTTGAATGGAGAAAAAATGTCATACCATATGACATACTAACAGGTATGTAGTGAAAATGAAGAGATCAGGTGGCAATAACTGACTGAAAAAGACTTGTCTATACAAATCTTGTTCACCTCTGTGTAAGTAAGGATAAAACATAAAGGTGTTGCAAACTGTTGTCGGAAAATTATTTTTCTCACATGTCAAACAAGTGTGCACACGCTGAAATGTCTCACCTGTTTTACATATCATTGAATTCATGTTGAAAGTCTGTAATATGAAGCTTTTATTACAAGTATCACATAAACTTAACATTATCAATGTTCTATGTTCAGATGAACCATGCCAGACAGACATGAACACCTTGCAATCATTCCATACACCAAATATAGTGGTCCTATCGCTAATAGTACATGAGAATCAGATCTAACCACAAATTCTTAACATTGACCATTGGACCATGAAAATGAGGTCAAGGTCATATGTACCCTACCAGATAGACATCTACACCTTGCAATCATTCCATACACCAAATTTATTTGACCTATTGTATAGATAATATCTGATAAACTGACAAAATTACAAAAAAAAAAACATTGACCAATGAACCATGAAAATGAGGTCAAGGTCATATAAACCCTGTCAGATGGACATGTACACCTTACAATCATTCCATACACCAAATATAGTGGCCCTACTCCTTATAGTATCTGAGAAATAGACCAATCCATATGAACTTCACATTGTCTAATGAACCTTGAAATTGAGGTCAAGTTCGGATGAAACAATCAGTTTCGACATGTGTGTACACCTTCAATCATTCCATACACAAAACAAAGTTGACCTAATGCTTATAGTATCTGAGATACGGACTTGACCATGTAACTTTATCATTAACCTTGATCACTGACCCATAAAATGAGGTCAAGGTCAGGTGAACCCTACCTGACAGACATGTAGACATTGCAAGGTTGCATAGAAAGACTGCAAAATAAAAACTATGTAGATTAATCAGAAAAATTAAGAAAATTGAAAAAAAAATATTTCAAAATTTAGATCATAAGAAAGCTTGGCCCAAGTTTCAAAAAATTCCTTGAAATGTTTGACAAAGTTATTGATGTTTAAAAAATCATGACAGGAAAAGTGAGGCTTTGAAATGCTATAATGTTGTGAAGGTTGAATTGTGATATATATAATATAATGTAAAACATATAAATTATAGATATAGCACTACAATATAATACTTCATACTGGTATATGATATATGATAAATGTGTATGGTATATGTGTTAATTTTACTATGATTGTTAATACATGTAGATGTAAAATTGAGAATGGAAATGGGGAATGTGTCAAAGAGACAACAACCCGACCATAGAACAGACAACAGCAGAAGGTCACCAACAGGTCTTCAATGCAGCGAGAAATTCCCGCACCCGGAGGCGTCCTTCAGCTGGCCCCTAAACAAATATATATACTAGTTCAGTGATAATGAACGCCATACTAAACTCCAAATTGTACACAAGAAACTAAAATTAAAAATAATACAAGACTAACAAAGGCTAGAGGCTCCTGACTTGGGACAGGCGCAAAAATGCGGCGGGGTTAAACATGTTTATGAGATCTCAACCCTCCCCCTATACCTCTAGCCAATGTAGAAAAGTAAACGCATAACAATACGCACATTAAAATTCAGTTCAAGAGAAGTCCGAGTCTGATGTCAGAAGATGTAACCAAAGAAAATAAACAAAATGACAATAATACATAAATAACAACAGACTACTAGCAGTTAACTGACATGCCAGCTCCAGACTTCAATTAAACTGATTGAAAGATTGTATTTCACAATGTAACTGAAAAAAAATTTTTCAGTTATATAATATAATACAAATGTATTATACAAATACATATATATATATATATATATCATATATCAATTAAACCAAGATTAACCTTTCAAAGTACATTGTTGAGTAGTGGCACCTCAATTGCTAAAAATGGAAAAAAAACTCGAACTAAAATTCATACTTTTAAATAACATTTTTAAGGCTGTATCATAAATGACTAAAATCTAATTTCTAGACAGGGAAGAAAATTTTTCATGAAACAATGACAGGGCCTAGAAACAAAATTTTTATTTTATCTCTTAGAATTACAGGACTGGTGTCAAAGAAAAGAACTTAACTAAAACTGAATTTCAAAAGGAGGCCCTCAAAAGTCGTTATGACACATTCGTGCCCATTGTCAAAAATGATCAGTCTCTAGTTGAATGAAACCTATCTCACCTCCTAAAGTTTAGAAGCAACTAGCTGTTCTATAACTATTTTATAGAATTTTAAAAAAATTTGTTTATTTGATCAGAATTAAGAATTATTTTTGGATGTGGATAGATTATACTCTGTTTTTAAGCTGACTGGAATAAGATGGGGATAGAGTCTACCCTGTTATTAAGCTAACTGGAATAAGATGGGGATAATATATGTGACAATTAACCAAGATTTGGTGGCACTTCATTTGATTTCCATATTACTTACTTTATTTTTTTGTCAATTTATGGGAGCTATAAACAATGATAGCCATGTTTGAAGGTTGTTACTATAAACAATGATAGCCATGTTTGAAGGTTGTTACTATAAACAATGATAGCCATGTTTGAAGGTTGTTACTATAAACAATGATAGCCATGTTTGAAGGTTGTTACTATAAACAATGATAGCCATGTTTGAAGGTTGTTACTATAAACAATGATAGCCATGTTTGAAGGTTGTTACTATAAACAATGATAGCCATGTTTGAAGGTTGTTACTATAAACAATGATAGCCATTTTTGAAGGTTGTTAGGTAATTATCCATAATTTTGAAAGAGAATATAATATATTAAAATCTACATTAAAACCAATGTTAGGTACATGTTGCATGTAATTAGAGTAGTAGTGGCAGCCGTGTTTGTAGGTCAAGCATTTAAGGAGCAATTGCAGAAACAAAGTAGGGACAGAAGGATGAATGGACGAACGAATAGTCTACCTCATTATCAAATAACACCCACTTTAGAAAAAGGGTATAATAAACTATAATCTAGACCCCTAAAGATCAATCATGGGAAATTTGGTTTGAACTGGTTAAGTAGTTTTAAAACTCATCAAAGACATTGCTGATAGAAACCTATGATATAAGTTTCATAAAATTCTGGCAAGAATTGTACACATGAGAGCGCTAACATTACAATTTTCCATATATAATCAAAATTTCCAAGGGCATAACTCTTTTAAAAATAATTGATCGACACTGATTTTCTAACTCGTCCAAGACATTGCTGATTTAAACCTTTGATATAAGTTTCTAAAAATCTGACAAGAATTGTACACATGAGAGCACTAACGATGCAATTTTCCATATAATTAATGTTTATAAGGGGCATAACTCTTTTAAAAATAATTGATCTGCACTGATTTTTGAAACTCGTCCAAGACATTGCTAATATAAACCTATGATATAAGTTTCATAAAAATCTGGCAAGAATTTAACACATAAGACTGCTAACAATGCCATTTTCCATATAAATAATGTTTCTAAGGGGCTTAACTCTTTTTAAAATAATTGATCCACACTGATTTTTGAACTTGTCCAAGACATTGCTGATATAAACCTATGATTTACATTTCATAAAAATCTCGTAAGTACTGTACATCTGAGAGCGCTAACAAGACCGGACGGACAAACGCAAAGACGGACCGATGCCTGGTATTTCTATGTCCCCGGCAATGCGTTATGCAGAGGACAACTAAAATTTCAATACAGGAAATGAGCTTAAGGGGCAGTAACTAGATTTTGTGAAAAAGTTTCTTTATAATTTTGTCTGCTAGATAGCTCAAAACTTTAAATAAAAGAAGAATGTGTCCATGCCGGTAAATATGCACGAATAAATGTACTAATTCAAGCCTACTGACATTTGAATTTTCTTTAAAAACTTTGCAAAATTTTCCATTTAAAAAGGGATATAACTCAAGAATTGTGAAAATGACGCCACCTAAATTAAATTTAAATTGGTGGTATTAAATAAGCATTGTGTATAAGTTTCATAACTTTTGGTTAAAGCAATGTATAAAGTTAAGAGTGTTGAAACTACAAATTCAGCAATTTTTCCATTCATAAAGAGACATAATGCAAGAACAGTGAAAGTGACACCATGTGAATTCGACCGATATTCTGTGTTTGGTGGTTATAAGCATTGTGTATAAGTTTCATAAAATTATGAATGAGGCAAACTAAAGTTAGAGAATAGAAACCAATTTTGTATGTAAGTATGGATGGACAAGGTTTAACCTAAATGACTTCTTCACCTAGCCAGGAGTACCCCTACACCCTGTGTTAATTTTGATATGCTACACTCTTTTAAGAATTAAACGTTTGTCCACACATGTACATTAGTCATGATGTCTCTGTGTTGAAGACCGTACTGTGACCTATAATGGTTTACTTTTATAAATTTTGACTTGGATGGAGAGTTGTCTCATTGGCACTCATACCACATCTTCTTATATCTATTAAACATTAAATATTATATTTTATACAATTATGCATCATATGATGCAATTGTGAAAGATGATATAGACTATTGATTTTATGACAAATGCCTTTACACTATATATTGATATAGATATAACGGCTGAACTGACAAGTCATGTGACTAAGATCAACAGAAAAAATTTAAAACCAAACTGCCAATACTGTTTTTTATCTGAGGTAAATCTTTCATGTCTCTGTTCTGCAATTATATCCCAAAGATAGCCCCAGGTCATTTGTGCATGAAAACCAATACTGTTTAGATAAATATCAAGCATGAAGAAAGCAAGATTCACCAGCAAGCAATGAAGAGATAGAAATGCACCAAAAACAAGCCACATAACTTACTATTATCTTTCTGATGGCTTGACTCATCATCACTGTTTGACTTGTCAATTGACACATTTCTTTTAAAATGTTTATTTTCAACTTCCTTCTTAAATGAGCTATGTTGTGGTTTTTTCGATGATATTTTAGAATCCATTTTTTCCTCAATTCTTTTTAACTCTGTATTAGAATTGCTTAGCTTTTCAATACCAGTTCTCCAGTTTTCATCACTAGACATTTCAACCAAATCATATGATTTTTTATTCACCCAAGCTTTCTTTACAAAACATTTTTCAGACCTCAAACAAATTTTAATTTCTGCACTATTTTTAAACTTTATGCTGTCATTTGTATGAGTTACTTTGCATGCTGGTACATCAACTTTCTTATGTTCACTTTCAGCAGATCCCCTTGTCAAATTAACTTCACTTTTAGTAGTAAATTTACTTTCAATATGTTCCATTCCAACATTATCTCCCTTATTTGAATTCTCACTGCCACCAAACGCAGTTGTTACATCATCTCTTCTTTTAGCAGTACATGCTTTTGTATTTTCACTTTTAGCCTTTGAAATGAAATATTTCCCCCTTTTTTTTACTTTATCTTTCTTATCACTTAACCCCTCACTTACATGACTTTTATCAGAAAACATTTTTTCCTCCTTTGTACGTGGTAATTTTCTGCTTTCCATCTCTTTGTTTTGCTTGTCAAGCTGGTTTATCAAAGCCTTTATGCTTTTAGCAATTTGATATGTCTGATTTGGTAGTGACCCAGCAAGGTTTGATGTCTGACTGGATAGTGACCCAGCAAGGTTTGATGTCTGACTGGATAGTGACCCAGCAAGGTTTGATGTCTGACTGGATAGTGACCCAGCAAGGTTTGATGTCTGACTGGATAGTGACCCAGCAAGGTTTGATGTCTGACTGGATAGTGACCCAGCAAGGTTTGATGTCTGACTGGATAGTGACCCAGCAAGGTTTGATGTCTGACTGGATAGTGAACCAGCAAGGTTTGATTGTGTAACATTAGATACAGCTGGTGCATCATCTGCTGACTTTATATAATTTGATATGCTTTTATCCACACATGTTGCAGTAGTTATTTTTCTACCAGTCATATCTAACTGTAAATTACAAGCAGGTTGCATTGATTTTTCATTGTTGTTCTTCTTCTTTGTTTTACTCAACACATTTTCCACTTTTCTTTCTATTATTGTACTTTTTTTCTCAGTGGTGCCTTTTTCTGGAATAATTATTTTTTCATCTGAAGCTATAGTCATTACAACTAAACTTTTGGAAGATTTGTCACTAGGTAAATCAGCTTTTGTTGTTACCAACTTGACTTTTGAACTTTCAAGCTGTTTTCCACTAGATATTTCTGTACTTGATTTAGTGACCTGGACCTTTGAACTTTCAGGCATTTTACCACTGGATCTGTCAGTATTTGATTTATTGACCTTGACCTTTGAATTGTTAGAAGGACAACTTGATTTTACTTCCATTTGATGTGTGACTTTCCTTTCATCATGTGAGGCAAAAGTAGGCTTTACCTCATGTTGTGTTATAAGTACTTTAGTATTTATATTTTCACTGCCATGATCTAATTTCACCTGAATGAGATTTGTCATATCTCTGCTAACTTTACTGACTTTAGGATTAACTGAACTGTATGAAATATTGTTCTCTTTTTTGACCTCAGAGATTTGCAGTTGACTCAGTTTTGGAACAATTCCCGTAGATGAACTACTTGTATCTAATCCTTTTTGACCTGCAAAGTGACTTCTTTCTGTCACATTTTCTTGTTCCTTGACATTTTGAACTTCTCTAATCTCAAATGGTTTCTTATTTGTGCTGTCACTCCTCTGATTAATTTTAACCTCAGATTTAAACATCATCTTTTCTACATCATTTTGGTGACCTTGAATATAGCCATGAGATTTTTTCCGACCTTTAGCATATGCTACATATGACTGTTTTATTGGAATATTCCTCTTTGTAACTCTGCAAAACTTAGCTTTAGGAGCATTTTTAACCAGTTTGCTTACTGGAGGAGTGCTTAACAAACTTCTTCTTTTGTAACCTTGACCTACTGATGATGTATTTTGTTGATTGAAAGCTATCAGAGGAGTTTTTGCCTGAATTCCAACTTGGGGTTTGTGTCGAAACACTCTTGGCCTTTTTTCTTGAGCATGTCCTGCCACTTTTGATGCATTCCTACGGTTGCAGGAACCTGCTTGATTATGACACTGATTTGTAATACCTACATTTCTATTCATGTTGTAATTGTTGTTTACACTATGTTGCTGTGGTGATGGCAGAAGTCCTGAACTCTGCTTTGCTTGTCCTGACAGTCTTATTGCTGACTGTGCTGATGAATTCTGCTGGTGTGGAGGACTAACATGTCTTCTTTGAGGCCCATCACAGAATCTAGTGTACTGTTGGCCCTGTGTAAACTGTTTTCCATAATTTTTTGCATTAGAGCCAAAAACAAACTGGTCTGCATTACAACCTACAGTTTGCTGTTTTGAATTAGTAACATTATGATTGATATTTGGTCTTGCAGCTTGTGCATTGAACTGGTTCCCACTAGGTCTTACTGTCTGATGCATTTGTTGAGGGTTAAACTGCTGGTTTCCTGTATTAATATTCTGAACTCCATGTTTTCCAAAATTATATGCAGATGGCTGTGCAAATCCTGGATTAGGATTAACCATATTAGGATGATTAATAAAGTTGGTATTCGGTGTAAAATTTGGTGTAAAATTATGAGAGGATTGTCCATTATTTTGTTGAAGATTTGGTGTATAATTCTGAAAACGTTGTCCATTATTTTGCTGAACATTATGTGTAAAATTCTGACAAGATTGTGCTTTATTTTGAGTGTTAGGAGTGGGTAATAGAACAATCTGTCTTGAATTCCTTTGATGAGCCATTACTTGATCCTAACTACTAAATACACTGGTTACACTATTCTATATATATCTCAGTAGCATTATAACTAAACACGTTTATGGAGAAGAGATGTATCCATTCATAGGTTATCCGAGATAATCAAATTTTTCCTTCAAATTGAATTTTTTCATTTGATTCAACCAAGCGTTGTCTTTTAATCGTAAATGTCCAATCACAAATGGCATATATGATTTTAACTTCTAAAGCCAGGAAAGATTCAACTTTCATTTGAAGTAAAACATCCCAAAATGATGAAATAGACAACCAATCTTTATAACTTTAAAACTTTCATCAGATATTCCAGTATTTTTTTTTTTTAACTGAAAAAAGCTGCTTGAGTACTTTCCACCATATGTTTATTGGTCATTTACTACACCAGCATGCAAAGGATACTAAACTGACTACTATAGCTAACACCAGGAAGTATATAGCAGACAACACTGAAGCACACTTTACCTACCACTCAAGATTTCATCTGCTGTTGAATTCCCTACAAAATCCAAAATAGGCTGCTTATCCTTGTTTATCAAATATATCTACATGAATGTCAAAAATAAAATAAATAATTTCAATTGATATGAAATTAAAATGTTTTTAAAATCAAACAAATTTTGTAAGAAAATCCTAGTGATCGGTAAATCTAGAAAGTCTAAAAATTGACATGCTCAAATTATCATGGAGTAAAAGAAAAACAGTTGATAATTTACATAATGGAATTTTGTAGTTATATTATTTGTCATGTCTTAACAAATGAGACCAAAAAACACCATGGAAACCAAATGTGACAAAAAAAAGAAAATCTAATATCATATATCAGTGTATATTAATTTTGTAATCGGATTCAGCAAATAGTCTTTACGTCAGACATTAGACATTTTTATTAACCAAACATGGCCCAATGTCAGGCAAGATACATAAACATCATAGTACAAGTGATTATGAAGGATAACTATTATAAAACATGGGAAGTATAAAAGTTGTCAATGAAAACATACACAATAATATAAAATAAAATATGAGCAATATAGGATATTATTACAGTATTCAGTTATTAAAATAAGTGTGTGGTGTTATGAAGTCAAATTCATAAAACTAGATCTAAAATATATTAAATGGAAATAATAGTATTTCTCATGACCAGTGCACAGCAGTGAGATACTTTACATCACCACAATGCAGAGGTCATCAAGGGGTGGTCAATTTGAACCAGCAACATATTATTATATATACTTATCACAAACATTGGTTCTCTTCATTACTAATGCATAACAGCAGCTGGGTTTGTCATTGCCACACTGCAAGATTCATCAAGGAACGGTGCTCATGAACTCATTAGTGAAAAATTCTTAAGTTCAAGTGGAAAAAAAAAGAGGGGGATAATTTTATATTATCTGAGATCTAGTCACAAATCCAAAGATGGAGATGTTGACAGACATGTTTGTGTCAATTCCATTAAGAGTTTTCTTATTTCTTCATGAATATGCATAATTCTGATAATAATTTCTCATCTTCATTATTCATTAACCAAATCAATTTTTTGGAGGGGTCTAAATTTTTAGGAGTAATAACACCATTGTTTTTCCCCTATTAATCTTTGTTAAATTGGCATTTTCCAAAAAATGGTGCTGAATTTATCTTTGTTTCAAATAAAGAAATACTTGGCATGAGTAAAGTTTTTTCCTGTCCAGTACTACATTGAAAATTTCATATAACATTTCATTGCATATACCATCACTGGAAGTAGACCAATCAAATTTTCACCCCTTTTTCCCTGTTTATAAGCTTTAATAACGACCATGTCATCTCAAGTTCCAAAAATATTTTAAAGAAACACCAAATAAAAAAAGAATGGTGGTTTGAAACACCCAAGATATATGTTTATCAGACTCAGAAACTTTTTAATGCAATGAAATGTTGGATTAATTTTCTACAACTGTCAAATTCAAGGGAATATTTTTTTTCAACCCTTTTTCATATAGTATGTGACGTACTATGATTTGGTGGTATTACATGTACATGTACACCTTTATACATCTTGCAACAAATATATATCATTGTTATCATATATATTGGTCTGGTAGACTATCACAATTGAAAATAAAATGTATTGACTACCTCTTTCTATAAGTAAATAGTGAGCAGATATATGCAAAATCTTGTTAGACTATGTCTTTCTCCAATCTTTTTTAAACAATGAATACCAAGATTTTTTGGCAACAAAAATTGGATTTAAAAATACAAAAGAAACACATGTACATAATTTTCCTTCTGAATGGTTATTGAGATATTTTTCCTAATCTTTCAGAAAAGTTATTCATAGTTTTCGGAAGTCTACTGGTTTACCCCTGTCAGAGGATGTTAGGCGTTTATTGTTGTCTATTGGTTTACCCCTGTCAGAGGATGTTAGGCGATTATTGTTGTCTATTGGTTTACCCCTGTTAGAGGATGTTAGGCGATTATTGTTGTCTATTTGTTTACACCTGTCAGAGGATGTTAGGCGATTAATAATGTCTATTGGTTTACCCCTGTCAGAGGATGTTAGGCAATTATTGTTGTCTATTGGTTTACCCCTGTCAGGGGATATTAGGCAATTATTGTTGTCTATTGGTTTACGCCTGTCAGAGGATGCAAGGCTATTATTGTTGTCTATTTGTTTACCCCTGTCAGAGAATGTTAGGCGATTATTGTTGTCTATTGGTTTACCCCTGTCAGAGGATGTGAGGTGATTATTGTTGTCTATTTGTTTACCCCTGTCAGGGGATGTTAGGCGATTATTGTTGTCTATTTGTTTACACCTGTCAGAGGATGTTAGGCGATTAATATTGTCTATTGGTTTACCCCTGTCAGAGGATGATAGGCGATTATTGTTGTCTATTGGTTTACCCCTGTCAGAGGATGTTAGGCGATTATTGTTGTCTTTTGGTTTACCCCTGTCAGAGGATGTGAGGCGATTATTGTTGTCTATTGGTTTACCCCTGTCAGGGGATGTTAGGCGATTATTGTTGTCTATTGGTTTACCCCTGTCAGAGGATGTGAGGCGATTATTGTTGTCTATTGGTTTACCCCTGTCAGAGGATTTTAGGCGATTATTGTTGTCTATTGGTTTACTCCTGTTAGAGGATGTTAGGAGATTATTGTTGTCTATTGGTTTACCCCTGTCAGAGGATATTAGTTGATTATTGTTGTCTATTGGTTAACCCCTGTCAGAGGATGTGAGGCAATTATTGTTGTCTATTGGTTTACCCCTGTCAGAGGATGTTATGCGATTATTGATCAGTGAAATAAGTTTCTGTGACTGCAAAATATTTGAAATAGAATTCTTTTTTTTTTAAAGTGACTTAATAAAAAAGAAAGATACATGTACATATGGATTATTCTAAAAGGTTGACAAACAATGCTTGTTGAAGTTGCACCTAAATCATTTCAAACTAAAACTGTCTGTAAACATATCTAAAGCATCCCCTTTGAAGAAAATCTCAGATGACCAGATTACCTCACCTCTGATATGCACATCTATATTCACTTAATGTTATATGTCTGCCACCACATATATACTGTGTATTCATTTATTTTCATGGGTACCAATTTTTGCATATTCAATAAGGATTACAATTTCTCAGATATTCAATTTCTTGGTTTTGCTAAAGCCAGCATAAAAGTCCATTGAAAACTTGCCCTTTGTTAAACAATTAAACTTGTGGTTAATGTTTACCTAGGAGATCCATACAAATTGGTATTCCACTAATAAGTATGAATCCACAGTACTATGAAAAAACATTCTTATAAATTCTATACATGTCATGCATGTGTTCAGTAAAATATGCTTACTGTTCACAGTTGTGCAGAAACCACAGTACTACAGATATTTTTGAAGAATTGTCAAAATCTAATATAAGCATGTTTTGCAATGTCACAACTCTTTCATTGTCTTTACCAATTTCAAAAAAAAATCTTTTAGATCATGCACAAACTCTAAAGAAAAGCATTTTGTCAAATTCATACAGTTTTGATAAATTGTTTTTAAATTACAAACATGCCTCCAACTTCTCCGCTTTGCAAGCAGATAGAAATTTTACCCCAATATTTTGCCATAGAAAACCTCTGAATTAAAACTTTTTATCTGATCTGGCACCAGTAGACCTTCATTTTCAAACAGTGTAAGACAGGAAACATTTTTAAGGTTATTTTTTTACATTACAGTAAATATTTTATATTTCCAACATGTCTGAATTTTCCCATTTTTTATGGAAACAAAGGAAGACAACTCTAATGCTGTGAATATGTGTCACTCCAATTGTGTTTGTTCAACTAATTCTATTCCTAATTTTTCTTAACTGTAGGAATCATCATGATAGAAGTCATTTATCTTTTGTTTAACAATGGGAATATGGTGAGCTACTAAATTTTAGATAAAAACTGACTTCATTAAAAGTTTTATGAAATTACGGTTTATTCACATTGTCAAAACATCATTTTCAACTATAAACAGTAGGTATCTATGCAAAACAAATTTGAAGAGTAAGTCAGTTTATTTAAAATTATTTTTTAAGTAGATGAAGGATATCTTTGAGATAATCCACAAAACCAATGGCACTGTTCTACTAAGACTACAAGATTCTTTGGTTTATTTCAACTGCATATTAATAATTATCTGAACACTAATTGAGTCTTCAAGTTCATGTCGAGCCTATCAAAAATAAATTAACTTTTGAGTTTAAAATGCATGTACTGCAATCATTTTATACAGAACTTGATAAAAGTTTCTTCACTGTATAGACAGGGATTGCTCTGACATCATTGACTACTGTTCCTGATGCAAGACCTTTACTTTTCTTTCAAATTTGAATAAAGTTAAGAAGAGGTTTACTTCCTGGTCCGACTGATTACAAAGGAATGAATGTTTCAACTTTTTCCAAAATCAATTGCAATCATTTAAAAAATTGGTTAGCTTGTTCATAATATGGAATGACTGATTGCAGTAAAATCTTTAAAAATAAAGCCATTAGTACAAATGTCTCTGGAGTATGGACTTTTTTATCTATTTTTTTTTTATCTTCCTGAATATGCATGAAATATTTGCCACTGGACGTTAAGCAACCAATAATCAATCTATTTTTTTTTGGTTGCCCAACAGCTCCAAATTGTTGATTAATGTATTGAGAATAGTGATTTTCCCTAATGGCAACTTCATGACAATCTTAGCTGGATTCCTTTAAAGATTGATATTTTTTGAACAGTGTAATTAACACAGGTTGTCATAAAGCATATGGGAATATTTGATTTATTACATAGAACTGACTTACAACTATTCCAGAGTTTATTGTAAAAAGAGTGGGGGTCAAAGATATCTCAAATTAAAATTTGTCTTTTAATCTCCAGTTCATTTATTTCTTGAAAAGCTTGGTCTATAAAAAATTACAGTATTTTCCTGAACCTGGGTAGAAACTTTGCTGAATAGATCATTCCAACCCCTTCTCATATAAAAAATGCCTGCTTCAGTACTTTCCACTTAAAACAAAATGAAGATAAAACTACCTCCAACCCTCGTTTACACAAGGATTGTATAGTACAGCCTTTGGAATCTACATGTATAAAAGTGTATATGTATTTGAAAATTGTTTTAACAAAATGTCAGCTACAACATTATATATAACAATAAATAATATGTATATATTCATGATATTACCAACATGACCCATGAAAGTCTTCCCTAATCCATGTAGTAACATGAAAACATAAAAGCCATAATTTCAAACTGTAAAGTAAAAGTTTTATACTTACTATCTAAATCTGCTGACAACTTAAAAAATTTGGTAATACACTGTAGCCTGGAATAGAAATACATGTAAGAGAATAAAATCATTCAAGGTAACAAATTCAGAATTATTCATATACATGTAAGCAATTTTTTTGTATTATATAACTTGCACATGTTAAGGGGGAGAAAAACTATCTAGTTTAGAATCAGAACACTGTTGACAAAAAAAACCTGGTTGAATAACAATTTAAAGACTCTTTTCTCATAATTTTGGTAGCCTTTAATAATAAAAAGCTTGATGTGTACTGTAAACCTCTGGATGACCATCATTTTAACTGGGTTCAACAGAGGGTTCTTTCAGTATTTAATAGATTTTCCGTAAGGTGTTTTCAAATGCTAGTAAAGTACTTAGCTATGACTTTTTGTCCTATCAATCATACACAGAAGAAGTGTGATCAACCACATGTAAGATCATACACAGAAGAACTGTGTCACAAAAACAAAGGTCATCAGTAATGAGATAAGGGAGGAAAAATTATCCAATCAAACACAAAAAGTGAAATAAATGCTTTGTTTGAATTGTTTAAGATGATTAAAACAATTCTCTATGAAATTTTCTTTGCACACTAGATGTACATCATTGAAACAGAGCCCCAGATAGCTTCAACTGGATTATGACATCATAGAATATTTGTGTAATTTCTGAACTTATCCGAATTGGAATAAATATTGATAAGGTGTATTAAGTAATTTTTTAACCTTTTTAAATAAAGATCTATTCCACTATTTCTAGCTATTCCTAAAACATACTCAATTGTAAACCATATACATGTAACGGTAATGGGTACACAACAACTTGTATACTCAACCAACTGTACTTTTTTCTTATATTACCAACTCATACTTTTACCAACTCGTACCCAATATGTTTTAGCATGATTGTGTTTCATTAATTAGGTTATATTGAAAATTTTATTGTTATGCAGCATGTCTTTAACTGTGAAGTAATACATTCATTAGTTTTAACTCTAGTTGGTAAATAAGAATATATAGAACATAATCTCAAGCTTGAATTCGAATGATTCATAGAATAATGGAAAGGGATATTTTTTTGCTGATTTTTGCGTTGGACATGTGAGTTTTTTAGTGTTAGTGTCTATATATAATGAATACCTTTTTTGTTTTTGAAACCATAAAGCCAGCACATGAATTAAACAAACATGACTAACACGGACTAAACTTAACTCTTTTTCTCCAGGGGCCAGCTGGGCCCCCAAAACATTTTTTTCAGGGGCCCAGTTGAAATTTTAGTGGCCCAACCAACTTTTATACTAATAAAATAAAACTTAAATGTACATTTCATATACTAATAAAGCCTTTTTATGTAATCCTATATGTAATGTTTGAGTCTGGTAAAGGTTATTGTGTGGTAACTTTATAATATTTGAATTAATGCCATCATAAATATATCATAAGATTTGACAGTTCTGAATTTAGAACATTTCCTGCCAAAATTATCTCCCTTCAATTTGAACATCCTGTTGACAATATAGCTGTTTCCATAAAACATTAAATGTTATTTCAAGTCCAAGCCATCCTCTAATAAGTGTTGACCAAAAATATTATATAATTACTTTTCATCGAAATTGGTTAGCATACTACATATTATTATATTTATTTATGAGATTTTGCGTTTCGTTTTTTCATTTAAGAACAAGTTGTGTTTACAAGTTTTTGTCAAAAAACAGACTTGTAATGACTCCCTGAACAACTGGGATGTATCTCTAAAGAAATTCAGATTCAACAGCGTAACGAAAACACTTAAAAATAATGAATTAATTGTAGAAGCTTTAAAAAAGAAATTAGAAAACGTGTTTAGAGAAGGGGTATACATGTGTCAAATCGTAACTTTGCATCGAAAACTTAGTTGTCTGACTGGGTTTTGGTTATTAAAATGACCTTACTCAAGTTACTGGTTTCCGGAAATCCTCCCTTCCATTTTCCCGCTTTAATTAGACAATCAGGTTTCCGTTTGGGAACAGTTTTTGTTTATATCGTGGAGGAAAGGATAGACATGGGATTCAATGCAAAATATTTTCGGTAGCCAACTGGGTGATCAGGATGATAAATATATTCGCCCAGCCGAAAATCTGGTCGAATTGGGCAACCGTTAAGTTTAATCCCTGACTAAGTCCAAATGTTTTACATATATATAAGATACTATAAGTAATAACAGATAATAATGACAATACATTAAAACATTTGATGCATTCAATTTATCTGAATTAAGATCTCATTTGATAACTGTTCATCAAATTTTTTTTACATGTTTAATCAAATTAAATAACTGTTCACATTCACATTTAATGTTCAATGACACAATTAACCACTGAGCGGTTTCATTCAAACAATGTAATGTTTTACACAAATCAAAGTTTAAATTTCCATTCAAACAATTTCATTAATGATAATTATAAGCATTTTATCTTTTTAGCTTTGATTTGAAACAATTATGATTGCATCATATCTGGGAACAGTATATCTAACGGGAAATGAATCTGATAGACTTTTCAGTATAAAACTGATAAAATCTCGAACTTTATGAAACTTCGCGAGATTTATGGATTTTGGACACGTCTGACTGAAAAACTTTCGTAACTGCTCAATAAATTAACATTATTCCAAACGTTAACAAATACAATGATTAGGCCAGTTTTATCGTAAAGTAGATATATTGAGTTATATAAAATGACCAATATAAGTGTGATTTATTTGACGTGAAGTGTTAATAACGGTTTGTGAAATTCACGGTTACTGGGAATGCCATAGGCGCCATTTTTTTATTACCCTGTTTGCATTCTGTACCCTTCTGTGATGAAATGAATGTGATTATGACAAATTTGAAGTGACAGGTTACAAGTTCGATACACTGGCAAAACTTATTACTTAGTTTGAATGACATGTTATTGATATTATCAGAAATTATTAGGATAATAGCGAGTTCGTATTTTACACGTCCGTTTCTGTATTGTGATATTTATTAACTATGACCCGACAATAAAATCGGCTATAATTAGGTAGTGTCAAGTCCCGTCAATATATATGTTCCTGATCATATTACCAATCAAAGTTATATTTTATTTTATTTATGTTATTTGTATGTTACTATATCATCATGATATATGAAAGAAAATAACACCTTTAATGTATATAAATAATTATAAAATATTATGTACGAGTTGGTTGAAACTCGGGTATGAGTTGACATGTATCCAAAGGTAATCATTTTTAATAGTTATACATGATATTCAAATTTCAATTTTATAAATGAACTACCCAGTTGACCAAGGGTCAATTTGGGTAAACGCGTCACAAGACATTGCAAATAAGAAATTTGCATTTTGATGTCAACAATTTCTGGGAAAAAGCATCAACTGGAGGATCATGTATAGCTTTAGGGCCGAAATGACTTAAAATAATGGTCTGGATAATGGATCAACTTGGGACAGAAAGGACTGTGGTCATATAAATAGGCAAAAATCAGATAGCAACACAGGACGAATTATTTTAAGATTCTATTAGATAATCAGTGACCTGGTGAGGTGTTTAAATATGTATACATTGTATAGAAGAGGATTACAATTTGTCATTGTAATTTGTATATAGACACAAAACAAATTTATACAGAATTCGCAATTGAACTGATCCTTTCAATAAATCATTGACTTTTGCATACCCTTGTGAAAGTTTGCGTTTACTCATACTATTCTCATCATTCGATTTCCAGCATCTTTTGCAAGAAAAGACAAAATCCTAGGTTGGAAATCCCCGAAATTTTCTGAGGTGATGAAGCGCTAAAAATCTGGGTCATTTTAATGTTTTCTGTAGGTGGAAACCGTTAACGGAACGGATACGAAAAACATAAGAAACAAGTTTACGTCTTACACACTTCCTGGTTGAAACTTTCAAAGTTGCTATGAAGAAGGAAAAAATTTAACAGTTTATGATGTCAGATTCAAAATATATGATAAAAGAAGGAGAGATAACAATAAGATCCGGAATTTTAGTAAGTCATACGTCAAAAATCATTTTGAGAAGAGCCTCCAGAGGGGAGTAGTTTTACACTTTTTGTGTAAAACTTCAATCTGTGCACAAATTTCCAATTTTCTGAATTTTAATGAAACTAGCTGCTTATCTTGATTATCAATACAACTTGCTTACACGTACGTTTATCAATGTAAGTGTGATTTACCGTTGCACACACATTTATTGGACATATGTTGCAAATCCTATCCAGTTAGTGCTGTTTTTATTTACCAAGTAGATTTTTTATCTGAGTAGTTGCAATATTGGAGAACTCCTTCAGATCAGTTGACAGAATGGTGGCTTTTTTGCAAGGGGTCCTAGGTTTAACATTGATAGGCATGGTCAGAGTACTAATTTGAAAGGGGTTCCAAATTATATGCTCTACATGCATGACATGTATATATATATAATTCAACATTTCATTGGAAAGAGCACAAATTATAGACATGATAGAGACATGACCTAAATACAGATACATCCCATAGGCCTACAAACAAAATTACAGTAAAAACAAGTCATGAGTTTACATATGGTACATAGGCGGATCCAGGGGGGGGGCCCCGGGCCCCCCTTTTGTGGGAAAAATTTGGTTGATTATATGGGGAATCACTGAAGCATGACTGGAGCAGGCCCCCTTAGGTCAGTCAGCGGGCCCCCCCTTATGAAAAGTTCTGGATCCGCCACTGTGATATATAAATAATTTCTAATTACATGTATGCCATGTTGTATGACTGACTCAGAATGCGTCTGCTCCCTCCAGCTCCCCACTTAGAGGAGTTGACGGCCAAGTCTCACTAAATCACAGACAGCCCCCGTCTGCTTCACGCTCAGAAGCAGAAACTATTTCTCTTCATCATGAGATTAGGTCCAGTCAAAATTGTCTCAAGTTGATATGTTTACTATACATGTACATGCATACATGTACTATATATGTGTGCTATTTTAAAACATTTATTCATAATTTTTAATATAAAATTGAACACACATATATATACAATGTATGCATATATAATAAACATGAAGTACTAATCTCTCATGTCCATCCTTCAAGAAAAGAGTGGGCTTAATTGCCTGTAATAGTAAAAAGACTGCCGAGTGTAAGAAAGCTACATTTGTTTTTGACATTTTATGCTAAAAAATGATATATTTTTCAATCAAATGAAGTGCGTTCATCTTCTATACTCCTACCTCTAAAAACCCCACTGATGTCTACTTCTACATCTTCTATACTCTTACCTCTAAAAACCCCACTGATGTCTACTTCTACATCTTCTATACTCCTACCTCTAAAAACCCCACTGATGTCTACTTCTACATCTTCTATACTCCTACCTCTAAAAACCCCACTGATGTCTACTTCTACATTTAGCACTCCCAATGAAAGATAATACTGTGTAACTGAAAGTGATTTTGCACATACATTGTTAATAACCATCATAAGACATGGTTGAAAGATCTAGCACTGACCAGCTTGTATGGTAAGAAAATGTGGGTTTTTTTGTAACAAAATTTCAGACACAATGTTGTCATCAATTTGACCAAATCTTTTCTTTTTATTACAACAAAAGTGCAAAAAATCTACATTTTCTATCCTGTTTCTACAAGAAATGTCCTTCAATCTATCTTTTATAGGTTTAGAAATTAAACTGTTTATCATTCTACTTTTTGTTGTTAAATCATTGAGTCTTTGCAGGACCAATAACATTTGCCTAAATGCAGTCAGGGGTACTACTTGTACAAGTAATCTTTATTTACTTGAAGAAGTAAATAATAATATACTTATATAAGTAAATTATAATGTTTGAATAATCTCACCTTAATTTTCTCAAAAATTTAATTGTACAAGTAATTATTTTTTACGATCCGGATAAATTCTCAAGTTTTGAGATGTAAAAACATGCCTTTAACAATTTTTCTCAGGTTAGCTCATAATTTTTTATTAGAGTTCAATTTTTCATCTCATTAATTCAACAAAGAAACTAATTGTGCAAAGCGCAAGGTTTGCACAAGGCCTTCAAAAATTGCCCCTTGGGGGCTTGTAAATGAGCAGTGTTCTGAAGATAACAGACAAATGAGATATTCATTGTCCATGAAATTACACTTAAATGATTAGTAAAGACATCTGCAAAGGACACACAATTAAAAATTCTATTAGATCAAAGAAGTCCTAAGAAATTCAAGAAAAGATTGGATGACTTATTTACTTGTATAAGTAAAAAAATCTGAATGTCTAAGGGACATAACTAAGCTAAAAAATAATTTACCTTTACAAGTAAATAAAATACACTTGTATAAGTATTCTACAAATTTACTTATATAAGTATATTAATATTTACTTCTTCAAGTAAATAAAAATTACTTGTACAAGTAGTACCCCTGACTGACATAAAGGTAGAAATATAACTAAAAATGTTTCTTTTCTTTTCTTTTGTATATTTACACACTACTACATCATGTACATGCATGACATGAACACACAATATTGCAATTAGCACATGATTTAGTCTTCATGTACTGTTCATGATATTGCTGTATAAAAATCATCTGGGAAGTATATATTGTGACCAATGTTAGACTTTTTAGGACAGAATGATTTGTACTTGAAAGCATGTTATAGTACTTTGAACTTGCTCTGATTTATTACACAAAAATGTAGCTAGCAATGAACATTGTGTGATACAGCTTTATGATAACCTCTCCAATGGATTACCTCCGTCTGTTTTTGCATAACATTTTTTTGTATAATTTTTCATAGCAATACCATGACTACAAGTAATAGCTTCTTGATATATATGTGACATCAATTTTATAAATAAAACAAATCAAAGTTCCTCAGACTGACACACAAATTATTATCAATATATGTATGTGGAGATAAATCAAAGTTCCTTAGACTGACACACAAATTATTATCAATATATGTATGTGGAGATAACAAATCAAAGTTCCTTAAGACTGACACACAAATTATTATCAATATATGTATGTGGAGATAACAAATCAAAGTTCCTTAGACTGACACACAAATTATTATCAATATATGTATGTGGAGATAACAAATCAAAGTTCCTTAGACTGACACACAAATTATTATCAATATATGTATGTGGAGATTATTTTATTCCCTGATAAATGGAGCCAGGACATATAATACTTAAAAGAAGGCATTAGCTGTCTATATAAACATGATAAATAAGAAGTTGTGGTATGAGTGCCAATGAGACAACTCTCCTTCCAAGTCACAATGTATAGCTCATTATGCCCCAAATCTATCATTTCTGATGCAGCTATAATATTGTTAATTCAGTGATAATTATAAAACCTGCATTTAAAAAGTTAATTATTGAACATCCTGGATATGCATGAAGTTTTAGCCACTTGACATACATGTACATGACATAAGGCAAAAACCAATTGCAATCAATCAATAAAAACGAAAATTTTTCCTTTATTATCAGACAAATAGCTATTTATTTCCCAGTTTTATTTTTGTAAAGCCTTTTTTATGGTAAGCTGAATGATTAGGAATACATTAATAAATAATGAAACAATGCTTTTGAAAGAAAGTAACCAGTTAGTTCAGACATTTCGAATGACTGCATCTAAATAATGAAACAATGCTTTTGAAAGAAAGTAACCAGTTAGTTCAGACATTCCGATTGATTACATCATAACAAAAATTGTAGAGTGGACACCAATTTAGAGAACAAATTCAGATTTGCAATCTATCATGTCTATAAATTGCATTGCTTTGAAGAGAGGAACAAATATCAGCCCAATATGTGTATGACATCAGTTTACTGTAGAATGATACCAAAAAAGGTGAAACAAGAGAAAAGTCAGTCAGTGTGGCCATTTACATTTATATGCAATAACTTAAAGTCATTGTCACAAAATATCATTTGTATACAAATCAAATTGACAAACACTTATCATTGAAATAAAAAAAACTTCTTTGATAGTAAAACCTCCATTCAACAGATGTGTATAAAAATGCTTCCTTCCTTCCTGGTTACATTGTATTTCTTTCCAAATGAAATGGAGCTGTAATTCAGGGAATAATAAAATACAATGAAACAGATAGTACATTAACATTGATAAATGTTTACACAGGAGGGAAAGGGAAGTCACCATTCGCTCCTGGTCATTTCTGAGCCTTTAACATCTATTTTTAACAATGTATAATTTGTTGATGGTTTAAATGATTATGGAAGTAAGGTTTTCAATTAATTTCTCTGCCGATCATAACAAAACTATAAATTGAATTGTTTGGAACTCAAAATAAGAATTCTTGTTTTTGGTTTAGTCAGATCGCATGCAGATTAAAAAAAATAGTCTCAAGATCAACCAATTCTTGATTCTGATTGGTCAATGTTCAAATCTTTAATCTAAATCAAAACCTTATACATGTTATAGAAATGTTGTTATAGTGTTGATTTGGTGGCATAATGGGGACAATGATGTTATAGTGTTGATTTGGTGGCATAATGGGGACAATGATGTTATAGTGTTGATTTGGTGGCATAATGGGGACAATGATGTTATAGTGTTGATTTGGTGGCATAATGGGGACAATGATGTTATAGTGTTGATTTGGTGGCATAATGGGGACAATGATGTTATAGTGTTGATTTGGGGACATAATGGGGACACTGATGTTATAGTGTTGATTTGGTGGCATAATGGGGACAATGATATTATAGTGTTGATTTGGGGACATAATGGGGACAATGATGTTATAGTGGTTACAATTGAAACCTTTTAGGTACTGTTACAGGAACTACATTGTTATGATTGTACAGTTCTTTTCATAATTGAACCAAATTTGACATGATCTGTGGAGGGGGCTTTCAATCATTTTCAACTCTATCATAGTATATTAAATGTATTTAAAACATGGACAACATGATGATTCTTGGTTTTTGTTTGGTCAGTTTTACCTCAGACAGATGTTCATTGATAAGTGTAAATCTTTCAAACATCATAGGCAGTATGATTGTAATTTCATGCACAATGTTAGGCATAGAAGCAGGTTAGTTCTCATTGAAGAAAATGCAGTTTTGTTCCATAAAATTTGTTTAAAAGAGTAAATATTATTGATGCATGATACATGTATATGTAGCACTTCACAGTTATTAAATAAAATTAAAATAGACCCCTAAAAATGTTTAATCATCCTCTTTTCCTGTCATTTTGATAAATTTTAAAGCTACACAAGACTCATCTGTGAGGCCCGCATAAGTTAAAAAGACCAAATATAGTATGAATTTGAAAAGCATACATGTATCCATAGATAAAGTTTTCATTAGTTAAAACTGGAACACACCCGCGACATTGGCGTCCTTGGCTGTATTAAAGTAACTACGCCTTATTTAATGCATGAATTTTTAGTTTTCCTTTTGTCATCTGATAAAGTCATGCTGATTAAAAGGTGTACAGTTTTCTCTGTTTTCAAGATCTTTCTGTTTGAACCCTACCTGGTTTTCTTACTACAACCGGAAAATTCGTGTGACAATGATTGTATTTAGCGGTGTTATTCATTGTGTAATGACAAAGTTCAGGTGTGATTATGACCCGTGTTTGTAGCAAAACCCAAATACACCGTTTGGTGGTGCGCCTGACAGGGGTGGAACGTAAAGATTAGGCAACAGGTAACAGGTGACATATACTATTGGTATCGGTATCAGATTCAGATTAGACCCAAAACTTGTTAATTATTGGTAATATTAATTATGTGGAAAACAAAAGGGCCTGCAATGATGTAATTTCTAATCAACACCATTGTCCTATATTAGTTATATATAAAGTTGAATTCTTTGATTCATTGTTTTTTTCCGTCATGCTGGCTAACAAATTTGACCTCGTTATTTTAGTATTATAGATGGTGAGATATAATTTCTTTTTTATGTTTCCACAACATTCTGCAGTAAAACTTATTCAAGTATATAAAACAGATATATTCTTCTTCATTTTTTTTTTTTTTTTTGAAGGATTATATGACTTTAAACATGTTCTAAATTGAAGTAAGCATAAAGTATCAGAAATGACCAGTAGTCAATGGTGACTTCTCTTTCTGTCATGTGTAAAAAATTGTTTGTGTTAATGTAGGATCTGTTTCATTGTATTGTATATTTAATCATTATTCCCTGAAATCTACAGATCTCCAATTTATTTGGAAAGATTAACCAGGAAGGAAGGAAACACTTCTATACAAGTGTAATTATGGGATGTTTTACTAGCTAAAGAAGGAGTTTTTTTATTTTTACATGAGGGTTGTGAAGGTACGATTTGTTTTTCAAATCGATTCATATAAAATTTACATTTTGTTACAATATTACATTAATCTATTGCATATGAATGTTAGTGGCCACACTGACTGACTTTTCTTTTGTTTCTCCTTTTTCTTTTGGGGTCATTCGACTGTAAATTGATGCCTTATACATATTGAGCTGATATATTTGTCTCTCCTCTAAGCTAGGCAATATAAAGAATGCAAATCTGAGTTTGTTCTTTAAATTGGTGCCCAGTCTACAGTTGCTTTTGATGCAGTCATCCTGATTGTCTTAACTAATTGGTCGCTTTCTATCAAAAACAGTTTTTCATTATTTATTACGGTTATGTTTATATACGACCACAAAATTTTTGCAGTCATATAATGGTATGACATTGTCAATGTTGTCATCTTCCGATGACATTTGGTTTCCAGACTGAACTTGAGTATGAGTGTATGGATGTCTATGAAATTGTACCACTAGGTTCCATACCTCAAGAGGAAGGTTGGGATTGATTTTGGGGGTTGTGGCCCAAATCATTTAGGAATTAATTAGGGGCCATAAAACTAGGAATTTCTGTTTTCTGGACGATAACTTGAGTATAAGTCTAGGGATCTCTATAGAATTGTACCACAAGGTTCCATGCCAAAAAAAGGAAGGTTGGGATTGATTTTTGGGGTTAACCATGTAGAAAAAGGGAACAAAAACAATATTTTTCTAACACTTAGTATAAATTGCTTAATTCTTGACCAATTTCAATGGGGAATTTAATTCAAAGTCTTGAATTCTTGGGGTTCTTTAAATTTGCTAAATCTAACCGTGTATTTATATTTTGGAAGTTGGGCCCTGTTTTCAAATTGGTCCACATTAAGGTCCAAGGGGTCCAAAATTAAACTTAGTTGGATTTTATAAAAAATTGAATTATTGGGGTTCTTTGATATGTGGAATCTAACCATGTATTTAGATTTTTGATTTTTGGCCCTTTTTCGAAATTGATCCTCATTAAATATATATTTATATATAAAGTCCAAACGGTTCAAAATTAAAAACTTTGTTTGATTTGAACAAGAATTGAAAACTTGGGGTTCTTTGATATGCTGAATCTAAACATACATTTAGATTTTTGATTTTGGGCCCAGTTTTCAAGTTGGTCCAAATCGGGGTCCAAAATTAAACTTTGTTTGATTTCAACAAAATATGATTATATGGGGTTCTTTGATATGCTGAATCTAACCATGTATGTATTTTGGATATTTAACCACAATAGGTAAATGTCCAATTTCAAATTTTTAAGTTCTCAGACCACATTCATTTTGTTTCAGAAACCTATGCTATGTCAAATATTCAATCACAATCCAAATTTAGAGCTGTATCAGGCTTGAATGTAGTGTCCATACTTGCCCCAACTGTTATACCAAAAGGCGGTACGGTTGCCTATAATTGCTTCCATCCACTTCATTTGAACTTTTGTTGATAGTTGTCTCATTGGCAATCATACCACATCTCCTCATTATTATAATGATTGATTGATAAAGGAAAGGTTCACTTTTGCCAAAATATGGCCTTGAATTTCAAATTTAACATATAATTTAAAAAAGGTCCTAATTTGGTTCTTAAAATGGATCTATTTCTAAATCCTTAATGCTAGGTAAATTAATCTCTTCATAAGATTACATTATAGGCTCAAAATTCAAGCACATTTTGGAGATATTGTCAAAAGAAAACCTTGATTGCAACCTAAGATCCAAAATATTCTGTATAACTAAAAGGTGCCAATGTTTATAGAGTGCATTATAGGCTCAAAAGTCAAGCACAATTTGGAAATATTGTCAAAACACAATCAATTTTTCCGACATTTAAGCTTTGGAGAAATAAAGAAAACCGTGATCGCAACCTAAGATCCAAAATGTTCTGTATAAAACAAAGGTGCCAAGGTTTATATTAAACCCCTAGTTACAACTTTGAACAATTCGATCAAAAATAACATTTCAACACAAATAATTAAGGGGTTGAATTTTGTAATTTATAGTTTGTTGTGCCAAAAAGAAGATATATTGTATTAAGGTGTAACACCACTAATATGGTTCCAGTCAGAAGGCAAATACCAGAAAGTAGTACATATTTAAACACAAAATAGTTCCTATGCATGGGTGTAACTTTTGAAATATGTAGAATATTTTGGTTAATTTGGATTCAAATGAAAGCTGAATGACTGGTTATCATTGATTGACTTTTGACTTCAAATTTTGAATAAAAAAAATTCATGAAATTGAAAAAGGGATGGTACATTTTGCCTGTTTGTCAGATCTGAAGTACCTGTTTTGGTACATCCAAAGTTCCAGGAACCAGTTCTCTCTTTTAAAAAGCAATTAAAGGTATATTGACTTTATTCAGTACAAGATGACATAAGGTGTTGCTTTGACATGCAATGATTGTCACTTTATTTGAACTTAAGACAAAAGGGCTGTGGCTGCTTAAAATTGAGGAATTTAATATAGAAAACAATGGGGTCATGAATTAGTGGTGAACTTCCTCAATAGTTAGTCAAAACTATTTCTTTTTAAAATTTGTAACATTTTGGCAAGATTTAATAAAATTAAGTGAATTTACTCCTTTAAAGTAATAGAACAAACAGAAAAATAGAAATGAAAGGGACACAACTCTCTCACAAGTTAAAAAACCAATAACTATAAGATATAAGGGCAAACACCACTAGATAAAATTTAACCATGATGGTCAACTTGCATTAAACATAATTTTGAAAAGACTTAGGAAATATTTAATTTTGTCATACCTCCTTAGACAATATTAGAGATGCAATGTAATCAAACTACTTCTACATTTGTATATATGGTTCACATATCCCCCTTCATATAATTGAACATATGAACTAATTCTAGATCTTTCATCTTCTCAAATTCATATTATACAATAATATACTTTATTGTTTTACAGAAACAGAAGCATAAAAGATTTTGTAAACTATGTAATGATGGTGATTCAGTGGTTCTTGAATGCTATGAAAGCAAAGACCATACAGACAAAGTTAAAAATACCTTCACACTTGTTCATGTCAAAGGTTTGGATAAAGTGGTGAAAGAATCTTCAAAAGAATTCTACATAGATGTTCATTTAAAGAAAGAGAAATTCTCACTGATATTCTCCAACCAAAATGAAACTGAGAGCTGGTACAATTGTTTACAAAACAATGCCCATTTTACTGAAGGAAGAGAAGACTCATCTACTTTTGAGGATGATGATACAGGATTAAAAGACAATATTTTGTATGATTCTGGACCTGGAGACAGTAAGTTGTTTGACATTTTTATTGCTGCGGCAGCAAGTATTTAATTTGATAAAGTATAGTGTTAAAATGTAATGTAAAAATATACAGTTTTATGAAATGATTTAGATTCAGAAATTATTACATGCATCTATAATTGTGATTTTTTCAAGAATGGACAAAACTGTGAGATTAATTATTGCGATTTCAGTAAAATCTGTATACAGATGTATAATTAATTGTATAAGATATCTGAATGCGAGTTCTAATAATTGCAATACTCACCTAGTCCCATTATTTGCATTAATAAAAACCTGGCAATAATTTCTAATTTTACAGTATGTGGGCCAAACTTAAAAAGTGAAAAAAGTCAGTGTATTATCCCCAATGTTTCTTCAGCCCACATTAAAAATCAATCACTATCAACCTAGGATAAATCTTCAGTCAATGAAAACTATTGAACACCAAGAAGATGACAAGAAATTAAAGCAGTACATGTTTACCAGTTGTTTTGTAAATAAAGAGGATTATTCAAACAAGGGATTTCTTATATATTGACTTGTTCAATTACCCCCTCCCTGCAAACAAAGTTTGTTGGGTATATACATGTAGTAATCACCTTCTCTGTGTGTCTGCTGTCTATCTGTCTGTCCCTCTGTCTGTCTGTCCATCCTGCTTAGTGTCCAGACCATAACTTTTGTACCATTGAACTTTGTTTGATTAAACTTGGTATGCAGATGAATCATAGACTGGGGGTGTGTCACTCTGAACTTGACTTTGAGCCCTATTAAAATAAATCCTTGTCCATTTTGTGTCTGGCTCACTATTTTCATACCCTAAATCATATTTGATATGCAGTTGTATCATGGGCTGGATGTCATATATATCGAAGTTAGGTCACTTTGACTTTAACCTCTATGAAAGTAAAAGATTGCTTGATTTGTTTACAGTGCATAACTTTATTACCTTAGCACTTAGATTGACAAAAGTCTGTATGCAGAAGCATCATGGGATCAGTTTGTGTCAAATACCAAAATGAGGTCATTCTGACCTTGATCTTAACACCTATGATAGTTATATTTGTGTTTGGAGCATAACTGTTCTCTGTTAGCAATAAATTTGGACACAATATTTCATATTTAATTAAATAATTCCTCTGACTGTATTCAGTAACAATGGAAGATGTTGTTGCTTTGGAATAGTTGAAATATTTTTCATGGTATTCAAGCTTTTTTGCAAATTTTAGCAAAATACAAAATAAAAGAAAATCTAGATAAATTGTAGGCTACAGTACTAGTGTTTTAAGTTTTGTATGATTTACATGTATTTACGTTAAAGAATTCATGAACTTTTTTTTAATTTGACAAGTTGAATTATCTTACTGAAGAATATGCATAGCTTGTAGCCCTTTTGAGAGAATTCTATTCTACTACATTTTATTATTTATTTTAGCTGATAGATTTGATGTAATGTTGAAACAAAATGAAGATACCAAAAACCTTGGTTTGACAAGTACATACCGCCTGCATGTATCAAATGTGTGTCTTATGTTAGAGGACTTAGTAAAGCAAGAAGCCAAGTACAGATGGTATTACAATGCATTGAGGAAATATGGCAGACAAGGCAACGATTTTGTGATAGAAGCAGGACGTAAGAGTGAAACAGGTGCAGGGACATTTATATTCATTTATGAGGATCCTTCTAAAATTACTAAAGCAATTGATAAACTTACCAAAAGGAAAGCAAACGAGCAGTTAACAGGTAAACTTAATTTTTCATCGTCTGAAACAGAGAGACCTGTATCAAATAGAATGTCAGAACCCATTCAGAAGAGAGAAAATTCCCCATCTCCTCCAAAGAAGGCATCATCAGTGAAGGAAAGTACAGATATTAAAACACCTTTATCCAGACAACATTCTGCTCATCTTTCTCCGAATTTCAAACATGAATTAGAAGATGTAGTTAGTGGTAAAAGTAAAACAATAAGTGACAAATCTAGCAAGAGTAAGAAAGAAAAACAAGAAACCAAAGATGAAAAGAAGGAAGAAAAGAAGAAAGGATTCGGGGCATTTTTCAAGTCTAGCAAAGATAAAAAACCAAAGGATAAAATGGAACAGGAAGTTGACCATGAGGGTGATGATGAGTATCCTGAAAATCTGTATGATGAACCCGAACTTCCTTCTGACTTGAAAAGACCTACTGAACCTCTGTATGAGGAAGCAGATCAGAAAGCTAAAGCAAAGAATAAACGTGCTTCTTCAAGTGATAAAAAGCCTTTAAAACCTCAAGAACATTCAGTTTATGCACAGGCACATCCTCTTCGCCAAGAAGCTTGGAAAAATCATGGGGCTCAAGAAGAAGTGCATCTTGAAAATTATGAATCAATAAAAGCTGCTGCGAGTCTCAAAGGCCAGCGTAAATCATTTGACAAGATAACAAACGACGAAGAGGAAATTGACGATACATATGATCATGCATTCCTGGCTGAAAGGAACCTTAAAAGAGAAAACATTGCAAATGACTCTAAAAATATCTACGGTACTTCAAGTGGGAGGGAACCTGAAGCAGATTATGAATTAGGTGACCCTGAAGATGAACCTGTTGAATATGATGATGCCTTTTCCACACAACAGAAATTTTTAGCTCAGCCAGCTGAGGCATATGAAGAAGTTGATATCAGATCATCAACATAGAACTTTCTAAATCAGTCAAACTGCAATAATGCAGGTTTTGAAAATATCTGATACAGGCTAAACAATTTTTGATGCACTGTATCGTGCTAGATGTATTATTATTGTCTTATGCAATTGTTCTACTTGTGCAGTCAAATTGTTATGACTATATCATGATTTCTTATACATTTGGTCAATGGTCTTGTATGTTATGTTAACAATATATTTCCCTTTTTATTAGTATGACATCACAAATGATTTCCAAGTTTTCAAAATGTTCAAGTTGCCTGCCTTTGGTCTAAAGTTCATTATTTTCATTCTAAGTATTTTTTAATTGTTTCAAAAGTAAAAGTCTAAATGAAATATAGCTAAACATTGTCTATGATGGATTTTTTTTTATAGTGTATGATAAATAATACTTGGCCAATCTTCTGGTCACAATTGATGTTGTATTCAAAGACAATATATTATTTTCTTTATGTTTTTGCCTATTCGTACTGTATTTTAGAGCAAATTTTGAGATGTCTTCCTTTTTGCAGATTTTTACACTTGTTTTAAGGTTTATAAATGCTCTCTGTGAACATTGCCTGAATTGTCCCTGACCAGCGAGGCTACACTCTTGTGCATCCCAACCTGTAAGCGTAACCCTTACTCTATCCTTTGTTCTAACCATACCTTAACCCTGATAAACATACTCTTACTCAACTTTAACCCTAATTTTCAATGGAATTGAAAAGAATTTTTACTTTAAAGCATTATCGAAATACCTTTAAAGTAGCATGAGTAGCAATTTTTGCAAGCAATATGTATGATATTCAAATGATACTCGAATGAGTAATTTGGTCTGTACATTTAGAATATTTAGTTTACTACTTTAAAACAATATCACGAATATGAATGTGATGAATATTTATATTATCAATTGATTGGTAATTTTACTAGCCATTTTACTGAATATTTGTAATGGATTTTGGATATATACATTGGTGCTTTTACTTCTGTAGAATCATCTATTTTTAGTAAATATCAAAACTTATGTTTTTTTTCATAGGTTTATAGAATTTGAAACTTTTATATCCACATTCAATCATATACATTCCACCTTTTGTTAATGAGTTATGAAAATAGGTATATTTTTTATGAAGAAAATAAGATTTCAATTCCATGTTTATATTTTATAATAATATCTTTTATTTTAATAGGGTAACCCAATTTATTTTTACTTATCTAACTGGAGGCCCTCATAAAGCAAGCTTTATTATAAATTAAATAAAATACAAAATGTATATACAAATAAACAATAAAACAAACGAGCAGTATATATTGGTATTTTACCTGGTGATTGTTAATTTCTATAATATTGCAAAATTTTGTAGTTTGAAAATGATCCAGCGCCTATTTTTTATTTTTTTATCATTTTGCTTTTAACCTTTTTTGATTTCTTTCAATTAAGGTTAGCTTCCTACAGGATCATATATTCAATTGATATATAATCCATTAATTGCCACACCACCTCAAAGTTTATGGACAATTTGCCAAAGAGTGGGTATTTTAAGAAAAATGATAAAATATTTGTGATTATGCAAATTTGTAACAAATTCAGATTAATGTGCATTGAAGTGATCATTATTTAGAACATATCCAGTCAATGTCATGTAATTTATTGATGATATGTTATACTTTGATATTTAAGTTAAAATATGATATGTATTTGAATTACCATACTTGTCAAGAAAACATTTTATATTAAAGATTACATAAGTAATGCATGGTGTATGAATCTGTTATAAAAATAGGTTCAACTACAAATGTACAATCATGAACAAAGGAAGATAGCTCCACCTCAAATTTTTTATTTGCCTAGCTAAATAAAATTCAATGTTCTATTTTAAAATTTACAAAATTGCAAAATGAAAGCAACCTTTACCCTGCAGTGCTCACAAGCACTTTGATTCTTCTTTTTACTGATGGTCTTAATTTGTTTGCAGTTAACATTTTACTTACAGTCTAGAGTTTAATGTTTAGACATTAATTACTTTGTTTATTTTTAATGGATGTTACTAAACAGTTTATGATCAATAATCAACACCTAAAACAAACATTTTGATTTTTTTACCATATTTTACTGATAAATGGACTTGATTTTGGTAGTCTAAATTAAACTTTTACACTGACAGTAGGAATCACGTGTGAGACAGATGTATACAGTAGGAATCACATGTGAGACAGATGTATACAGTAGGAATCACGTGTGAGACAGATGTATACAGTAGGAATCACATGTGAGACAGATGTATACAGTAGGAATCACATGTGAGACAGATGTATACAGTAGGAATCACATGTGAGACAGATGTATACAGTAGGAATCACATGTGAGGCAGATGTATACAGATACCTGATGTTCTGGTAGTTCTGTCTAACATGCATATGTCTAATGTCCTTGACCTCATTTTCATGGTTCAGCTACCACTGGAGAACACAGCATTTTTTTTATATTTAACCTATATAGTTTTTTATCACATGATTTTCTCAGTTATTATGAGTAATAAGTCTATGTGTCCCACTGATAGGGTTCATATAACCTTTACCTCATTTCATATCTGTTTTTCAGATACTACAAGCAATAGGTCAACTGTATTTGATGTAAGGAAAGATTGTAAACTGAACATGTTTCACCTTACATGGACACCATTTTGATGGTTCATTGGTCAATATTTATTCATGGTTAGGCCTATTTCTGGAATACTATAAGAATTAGATTAACTATATTGGGTGTATTGAAGGATTGTAAGGTTTACTTGTCGTCTATCTGGTATGCTTCATTTGACCTTGATCTCATTTTCATGGTACATTGGTCAATATTAAGTTTTTGTGTTTACTTCTGTTTCCCCAAAGTATAAGCAATGGGTCAACTATATTTGATGTTTGGAACGATTGTAAGATGTACCTCTCCAACTGGTAGGATCCAACCTTTGTATCATTTTCATAGATTACTGATAATGTCAACTTTATGTGATATTTGTAGTTAAACTTTTATCTTGAAGACTTTTAACATACATTCTATCATGATTAGTAAAGCAGACATGATATTTCATATTATGCACTCTTGTTACAATGTTATGTTTTGAAGTATATTTTACTGCTCTGCTTAAACCAAACAATAATCAATAAATCAAATATGTTTTCAAATATTTTTAAAAATTCATTTGCAGAATAATCAGTAACCTCAAACTCTTCAGAAGTCAAGTCATCAAAATAAATTTTTGAATTTCTCTTCTCTTGCTCGTCATGAAATTTTAAATCATCTTAAGCATTACACCTGAATTTTTCAACACACATATATTTTTGAAGCTTATTCATGACCACGCTTATTTTTAATTTTGCTTATAAAAACATTCCAAAATTGTTGGTTAATTTATATGTACAAAAAAAATTTTTTTTTAATTAATATCTATTAATATATTATTGTAAAATGCATTTTATATTTATATACAATGTATATGATATTTTTATACATAAAGCTATTTTAGTCCCATGTGTTGAGGAGAAGGGATCATACAATCATTGCCTCTTAATTGATTTACAATAAAAAGATATGATTAACATGTTACTGTTAATTATAAAACAGAATTATGTGTCTCAGACAACTTTTCCCTTCAGTTCTTATAAATTGATTTAAGTAGAGGTATATTCCCTTTGTATCTGAATATGTACAATTGAGAATGGTGAATGAGGGCTATATTACAGTGTTAATATTTCAATTATTTTTTTTATTTTATTATGAAAGCGAGGCCAAAGATACCAAATAGACATTCAAACTCATAAGTCAAAAATAAACTGACAACGCCATGGCCAAAAATGAAAAAGACCAAAAAGAAAAACAACAGTACACAAAACACAACATAGAAAACTAAAGACTGAGTAACACAAACCCCACCAAAAACTGGGATGATCTCAGATGCCTGTTTAGGGTAAGCAGGTCCTGCTCCACATGTGGCACCTGTTGTATTGCTGAATAATAGATACATGTATGAAGTTGTACTAACATGGGAAATGTACAGTTTTGAAAGATTCTATCAGCTTTTTTTATTTGTTGGTATATATGTATATTCATTTATACAGTTCAAATGTTTTTTATCAACTTTTTTTTCTGCATCATTATTTCTTGGTCTTGGACAATGTCAAAGTTTCCTCAAGAGTAATTTCTGAATATTTAGTTTGTCTTTTCAAGTTATTTATATATTTAGAAATACCTTTGAATGAAGAAAGAAGAATTGTCAGTAACTTATATCAGATTTCTAATGTGAAAAGGGCATAACTGACATTTTTTGACAACAAATACCACATTTTTCCTATGCTTTTTGAGGAAAAGTAACAACTAATGATTCACAGCATTTTTATTGCATTATATGTCTTGTTTATACTGTTAATATGCTGCTTGTTAAATTATTGAATATATATAGTTATTTATATTTTATAGAATACTTCATTGAACAGTTAATTCAGATGATACAAAGATTGAATATAAAAAGAGTATTGAAGTTACATTTGGTTAACAAAGTAAAATTTAAAAAAAGGTACTCTGAAAGTACTTTTATTCGTGGAAATCAATTTTCGTGGTTTGAACAGATGTTATATGTTTGTGGGTTCTTAAATTCGTGGATTTTAGTTTTCTGAAAAAATCCAGGGAAGATTTTGTAGCCATCACAAAAAAAAGATTCTCGTAAATAGTCATATGGTGTATTATAATAATTTGTGGGACATTGCAAAATAAGGTGTTCATTTTCACTTACTTGATCGTCTTACATTCGTTAATTTTTTTATAAAATAATTGCTTATGAGTACCTTTAAACAGGGAGAGAAAAGCATTGATTAATACTAAATGTTACAGTATTACTATTATTTATACTAACGCTGTTGTGTTGTTGAATATTAATGAACATATATAACTTCATAATTGCAAATAATTTGAAAAAATAAATAATATGTGCTTTGATAAAACAGTGTTTTATCATCTGACTTGAAGAAAAGGAAAACTTTCCTGTCTCGTAAAAGAAGGGTGTTCAGATATTTTCTTTTTAGCTCACCTGGCCGAAAGAGCTTTTCTCATCACTAGGCATTCTTCGTCATTGTTATCTGTTAACTTTTACAATAATCTACTCCACTGAAACTACTGGGTCAAAATTTACCAAACCTAGCCACAATCATTATTAGGGTATCTAGTTTAAAAATATGGCCGATGACCTTGGCTGTCAATTAAGATGGCCGACATGGCTAAAAAAAGAACATAGGGGTAAAATGCAGTTTTTGCCTATTATTTCAAAAACCAATATAAATATAGAAAATCTGACAAGGGCAAAAGTGTTCAAAATGTTGAGCTCTACCTGTTGTATTTAATCAAAACTGTCAGACGACTTTTTATAGGACTTATTGCCCTAAAATGACGAATTTTACCAATTTTAAAACTGTTTGCCTTTTATCTTGAAAATTATAATAGATAGAATCTTTAAAAAACAAAAATAATCAGCAGGACAAGATCTACTAGTGAGTCAAACATGACCAAAATCGTCTGACCACTCCTTATTAGTGTTATTGCCCTTTAATGACGATTTTTACCAATTTATTTCAAAAACCAATACAAATAGAGAAAATCTGACAAGGGTTAAAGTGTTCAAAAATGTTGAGCTCTACCTGTTCTATTTAATCAAAACTGTCAGACGACTTCTTATGGGACTTATTGCCCTAAAATGACGAATTTTTCCAATTTTAAAACTGTTTGCCTTTTATCTCGAAAATTATAATAGATAGAATCTTTAAAAAACAAAAATAATCAGCAGGACAAGATCTACTAGTGAGTCAAACATGACCAAAATCGTCTGACCACTCCTTATTAGTGTTATTGCCCTTTAATGACGATATTTACCAATTTATTTCAAAAACCAATATAAATAGAGAAAATCTGACAAGGGCAAAAGTGTTCAAAAATGTTGAGCTCTACCAGTTCTATTTAATCAAAACTGTCAGACGACTTCTTATAGGACTTATTGCCCTAAAATGACGAATTTTACCAATTTTAAAACTGTTTGCCTTTTATCTCGAAAATTATAATAGATAGAATCTTTAAAAAACAAAAATGATCAGCAAGACAAGATCTACTAGTGAGTCAAACATGACCACAATCGTCTGACCACTCCTTATTAGTGTTATTGCCCTTTAATTACGATTTTTACTAATTTTTGCCTTATTGCCTAATATCTTAAAAAATATAATAGATGATCAGCATGACAGGATCTACAAATAAGTAAACATAGCTGAAATCTTCAGTTGACTCCTTATTAGAGTTATAGCCTTTAATATGATTTTCCCCGTTTTTATACGACCGCAAAAATTAAAAATTTTTTGGTCGTATATTGGTATGACGTTGGCGTCGTCGTCGTCGTCGTCGTCGTCGTCGTCGTCGTCTGGCGTCGTCCGGCGTCGTCCGAAGACAAATTGGTTTTCGCACTCTAACTTTAGTTTAAGTGAATGGATCTCCATGAAATTTTACCATAAGGTTCAATACCACGAAAGGAAGGTTGGGATTGATTTTGGGGGTTATGGTACCAAAAGTTAAGGAATTAGGGGCCAAAAAGGGGCCAAAAATATGCATTTTTGTAACTTCCAGACAATAACTTGTGTGTAAGTGTATGGATCTCTCTGACATTGTACCACAAGGTTCCATATCACAAAGGGAAGGCTGTAATTGACTTTGGGGGTAATTGCCTCAAAATTTTAGGAATAAGGGGCCAAAAAAGGGGCAAAAAACAAGCATTTTTCTAGTTTCATGACAATAACTTGTGTGTAAGTGTTTGGATATTTCTGAAATTGTACTACAAGGTTCCATATCACAAAGGGAAAGCTGGAATTGAGTTTGAGGGTAATTGCCCGAAACGTTTAGGAATTGGGGGCCAAAAAGGGGCCAAAAATAAGCATTTTTCTAGTTTCCAGACAATAACTTGTGTTCAAGTGTATGGATCTCTCTGAAATTGTACTGCAAGGTACCATACCACAAAGGGAAGGCTGGTATTGAGTTTGGGGGTGATGAATCATAAGGGGGTTCAAAAAATTTGGGAGGGGGGATTTTTTGTTTTTGTTTTTTTTGTTTTTTTCCTTTTTTTTTTCTTTTAAAATTTTCCATTTTAAGTTGGTTATTTCTGATTAATATTTAAAAGCAAATAATAATGATATGGTAGGAGATACACACCAAACAGGATGTGTAAATTATTATATAATAAGTATTGTGCAATAGCAAGAAATTTTCAATTGCACAGTATTGCACAATAGCAAGAAATCTTCAATTGCACAGTATTGCGCAATAGCAAGAAATCTTCAATTGCACAGTATTGCGCAATAGCAAGAAATATCCAATAGCACAATATTGCGCAATAGCAAGAAATTGTCAATTGTACAGTATTGCACAATAGCAAGAAATATTCAATTGCACAGTATTGTGCAAAAGAAGATACTTCGTATAAATTGCTTATTTCTTGATCAATTTCAATGGGGTTTTATTCTTGAATTCTTGGGGTTCTTTAATATGCTGAATCTAACTGTGTATTAAGTTTTTGGATTTTGGGCCCCATTTTTAAATTGGTCCACATTGAGGTCCAAAGGGTCCAAAATTTAACTTTGTTTGATTTCATCAAAAATTGAATTATTGGGGTTCTTTGATATGCCGAATCTAACCGTGTATTTAGATTCTTAATTTTTGGTTCCGTTTTCAAATTGGTCTACATTAAGGTCCAAAGGGTCCAAAATTAAACTTAGTTTGATTTTAACAAAAATTGAATTTTTAGGGTTCTTTGATATGCTGAATCTAAACATGTATTTAGATTTTTGATAATGGGCCCAGTTTTCAAGTTAGTCCAAATCGGGGTCCAAAATTAAACTTTGTTTGATTTCAACAAAAATTGAATATATGGGGTTCTTTGATATGCTGAATCTAACCATGTATTTAGATTTTTGATTTTTGGGCCCCGTTATCAACTTTGTCCACATTGAGGTCAAAAGGGTCCAAAATTAAACTTTGTTTGATTTCATCAAAAATTGAATTTTTAGGGTTCTTTGATATGCTGAATCTAAACATGTATTTAGATTTTGGATAATGGGCCCAGTTTTCAAGTTGGTCCAAATCGGGGTCCAAAATTAAACTTTGTTTGATTTCAACAAAAATTGAATATATGGGGTTCTTTGATATGCTGAATCTAACCATGTATTTAGATTTTTGATTTTTGGGCCCCGTTATCAACTTTGTCCACATTGAGGTCAAAAGGGTCCAAAATTAAACTTTGTTTGATTTCATCAAAAATTGAATTCTTGGGGTTCTTTGATATGCTGAATCTAACCATGTATTTAGATTTTGGATATTGGACCATAATAGGTGAATGTCCAATTTAAAATTTTTAAGTTCTTAGACCACATTCATTCTGTCTCAGAAACCTATGCTGTGTCAAATATTTAATCACAATCCAAATTCAGAGCTGTATCAAGCTTGAATGTTGTGTCCATACTTGCCCCAACTGTTCAGGGTCGACCGCAGAGGTCGTATCAAGCTGCGCCCTGCGGAGCATTTTATTGCCTATTATCTTGAAAACTTAATAGATAAATAGAAACTTTAAAAAGCACAAATGATCAGCAAGACAAGATCTACAAAATTGCCATAATGGCCCAAATCTTCTTTTAATAGAGTTATTCCCCTTTTATGAGCCTCTAGTTTGCAGATCCTACAAAACTAAGAAAATCATCTCTTTATGAAATATAGAAATGATAAATAACACATCATTGTATTTTAAAATGGTAAAACATTAATAAACAATATTTTTTTTAATAAACAAATTTGGAAAATTACATGCTTAAAATATATGTTGTTGCCTGTTCAAGACGAAGGACACAACTTTGCATTACTCAGCCTAAAAGTAAAAGACAATCATTATGAGAAGGGATGATTTTATTGAAATAAAAGGCAGAGGCTAAATGTAAATCAGCAGTTCAGAATCAAGGTAATTTGGCATTGTCAGGAAGACATACTTGTGTTTATCCGTTCCACTTTTCAAAGGTCAAGGTTTTAATGTAGCAAATAACTTTAAAATGTTGAGCTTTTGAGATTATTATATCCTTTGAATTGCAGCCTCCTTCAGCTGCTTCTTTGATGAACATGTAGACTATGTGAGTAAGAACGAAGATTGTTTGGATCATTTTCCGAGTGATCTTCCCAAATAAGGTAGCAGGTTATCCTCAGTCTGGATTGTTATCTTGTGAGCTAGCACAGAAATATTTCGACTTTTGGCCTATTAAAAGCAGTTTAAATTCATGTAACATTCATGTGCTATCATTCTTAACATGCATTTTGTACTGAAACATTACTGTCCCAGGTTAAGGGGATCGAGTTGGTCGCCAGAAAACATGTTTAACCCCGCCATATTCTGTATGTGCCTATCCCAAGTCGGAAGCTTGTGAATCAGTGGTTGTCGTTTGTTGCTATATTTCATGTTTGTTTTTTGCATTTATTGTTTTGTACATAAATCCGGCTGTTAGTTTTCTGTTTTGAATTGTTTTACATTTGTCATTTTTGGGGCTTTTTATAGCTTACTATGCGGTATGGGTTTTCCTGATATTTGAAGTCCGTACGGTGACCTATAGTAAACTTCTATGTCATTTGGTCTTTTGTGAAGAGTTGTCTCATTGGCAATCCTACCAAATCTTATTTTTATATGTTGTATTTGTCACTGGACATCAAACAGACATCTGTTAGTGCTTTGTACTTATCTATCAATGGCTTTTTTGTACTAGTTTTTGCAATGGTGAAAGTAGATTAGAAGGTATTATTTAAAGCCTTTGTATAAAATCATTTCCCGTATTATACTTAAGATGGAATACAGTTTTGTTAAAAGTTGAAGATACAAACTAAATATCCTATGCAAATTAATAAGAAATGAGCAGGAATTTTATGGTTCCTTTGAAGA